TTGATGTTGGGAGAAAGCTCTTCTGTTGAAGTGCATACATAGCAAGTAAGGCATCGTATGGACACACTATTGGGCAAGAATACCTCAATTTTCACCCCTGGATGTATCCTCAGATGTGTAAGCAAACTTTCAATGCCATCAACCCTTAATGGTGGAGCTGTGCAATTGTGCTCGCTTTCGTACTTAGCATCGTCGGAGCTTCCGGCACAATGGTGGTGTTGATCATAATGACCGTCTACTATAGTATACACATTTAGGCGGGTGACAAGTTGCATCTACAATCCCTATTGTGGATGATGTTTGAAAGGGGTTCGTCTACGAGGAGGTGGGATGGGAGTATGTACCACATTTATTCGCCACTCCTTACATCCCTATATTGCACATCTCCGGGAGATCGAGTCGTACGCATTGACACATTCGCCACATGATAGTGGACGAGAAGGGAGAGAGACTGCGCAGAAAAGATTTTGGTTCACATCATTCTGGCACACCTGAGTAGTTAGACGCCAGCGCATTAGATACACAATCGCAGTACAGTACACATATCTGTCTTTAGCAGACCTCTACTTAATCCAATAATCTATCAATCCTCAAACATTCTATCATCCCTAAAAAACTCGAACTGTGACTTGACCCCGGTGCATTGATCTTATGTACGGTATATAGTGACATGTGGTGTGACTGAGATAATGAGGGTTACGTATCTGGCAATGTATACAGATTACCTCGAGGCTTGTGAGATGTGAGGAGATCGAGGCACGAGACCAGTATTTTGAGGATTGGGGCAGTGATTTAGGGTCTTGGAATAAGATGAGGTGTGATATAACACGATACAGATAGCAGATTCTATAGAATCTAGACGATGAATTTGCGGCGATAAATAGGTATAGAGTATCTCATGTGAAGCACGGAGGGGAAAGGGGGGAAACCCTTATGTATGAAGATAGACATGCTGCATTAGATCTCCGATATTCTGGATCTGCTTCTCTTTGGGGATTTCAATAAACTTTGATATAGCAACTGAGATGCCAAGGTAGATGCGGATCTTACGTCGCTGCTCTGGGGAATGAAGGGAGCGGGGAAAGGGGTTGTTATATATATGTATATATATCTTCACCACTCTTCTAGCATACTCGAGGCCTCTAGTATCTTCCTTTCCGGGCAACGATTATTTTCCCCTCCTAATTCAGCGCAGGGTCTTTGGTCCACTCGATGTGTCTTCTTGTGCATGTATATTCATCCCATTCAAAACGTCTCTTCATCGTCGCTTGCGTTCCTGGTGTCTGGTTCGTTATCATATCGTCTTGGATCTTGATTAGTACTTTCTATATCTGATTTTTAAGGACTGGTCTTTGATTATCTTGTCTGTTTCCTGAGTTACCTTTCATTCCGATATCTTTGACTCCAGAATTCTCCTTTATCTATTCGAGAGGGAGGGGTGCTTATGGTGTCTCCCCTCCCGTTCCAAAGAGAAAAAAAGATAAGAAATAAGGCGGTGGGTTTGAAGTAATGGCACATACCTATATATGTTGAACGATCCGGATTCGTTAAGCTGAGATTTAAAGCATAGTTTGGGAACTTTCGCCATTCGGGACTGGGTTGGGTGTTTTGATCGATTATGCAGAACTTTTGAGAAGATTGGGTGGTTGAAAGGTATTAGATGATTGAAAGGAGTTGGGTATTTGAGTTGAGTTCAATGTATCTTCTCTTTGAAGTACAATCTGGAATATTGAATACACTGAGATTGCTGAATGATAGTATTGAGTACCCCAGTGCTTTCATCATCGTCAGTATTCCCGCGATTCTTTCCGCATTCCTCCTTCTCCGTGTTGTCGCACATCTTATTAGTTTGTCCCCCAGCGGACTTCCTCGTCGGGGTTTGTGCCCAGTATGTTTCACCACAGTAGTGACCACATTATCTCTCAGAGACTCCTCAGAGGACCCCAAAACTTCGCTGTAAGGAGTCTTCTCTGACTTAACTCTATCAATGTTGAAATGCCTTTCTCTTGACTGCTGTATTCAAACACTTGATCTAACCATAATACACATACCGCTTTTCCGATAAACCATCGTTTGGGAAAGCAAGTTTCTTCCTCTAAAGTTTTACAAACCCGGCAACTGTCAATAGCGTGCTGGTTTGAAAAGGCTTTGCTTCGAAACCCCAGTTCTCAAGCACTCACTTCATAGAGACGAGGAATTATCGTCATCTGACACGCAACGAACACCATGTTTAGTTAATATTCCAAAATTAGACTGTGTTTTGTGAATCCAGTTCATAGAGAATATCTTGTTGCTTCAACCTGACAGTTGTTAAATTTGCAGCATAACGTGTTTCTTTAAAGGGCTCCAAGTATGAGAAACCAAGCACCATCAATATATCTCCATACCGGCCTCATCCCAAGCCACAGTACTCCACCAACTGACCTCTGGGGATCGTGTGTTGTGCACTGGATCTGTTTGTTATGGTATGAAGTTATAACATCAGTCCAACATCAGCTCTCCTCGCCAATCCAACGTATCGATTGATTGATTGATTGATTGATTGAATTTACGTCCACGCCAATCCAACGTATCATAATCTTGGTAATTCATCGTTGTGGTAGTTTGTCGTTCACCAGGTCCAGATTTCTACTATTTCGGCGTGATAATTCTCTTCTCGGTAGAGAAGACTACCAAAATCATATCAGAATCGCCTTCTCGCCTTCGAGTCGATTTTCCTTCACGAGTGTTGCGTCAGGGGGAGCATCTTTTTCAATTATTGGCTCCTGTTCGTTCGTCTTCTTTAAACACAATCTTATAGCCTGGAAACATCTAAAACAATCGATATTCTCACAGAATTGGCTCTTCTCTTCTCTAACACTGCTTGTTTTTTGTCATCTTTCGACAATTTATATTGCCACACGTGTCGGGTTCTGTGGTTGAAATTGCTGGGGAAGATGCCGAATGTAGTCTTCCTGACGTTTGAGCTCCAAAATCGAGTATTAGCAGACACTAATTCACACCAGCAGTAGTGAATTTTAACTGATTCAGTATATCTATAGCTGATGCTACGCCGAAAATGTGATGCGCCTATGTATGTATTATACTTGAATAAGATGATAGAAAGAAAGTCATAAAGCCCACTTCCCCCAGATATTCTCTGAATCACCCATGATAAAGTCCCGTAGTGCCCAACACTTGTAGCCTGTGATACCTGCACTTTCAAGGAAACCGAAACTCGTTACCTATCCCAAGAAACTACATACAAGCTATGAATGCTTGAAGGTTCAACATTTCAAAGAGTCTAAATCTTCTAGCCAGATTGATAAGAAATTGAACGCTTCTGATTGCTGGACTACAGCCTGGGTTATTAAGAACCTTGGGTACACTGAGAAGTCGAATGAGGAAAGACCGTTTGCCCTAAAGCCCAATAACTAAACCAGATTTACATCATTTTGAATGCACAGAATGAATACAAGCCCCTACTCAAGCAAAATATGAGTTGCGTCGTTTAAGCTCTGATATCGCTCTATCAAAGTTTGTCGCCAGTGACTACCTAGCGCGTACTTAAACCAATAAAGGCTTCACAATAGATCAGATCGCGTGGCCAGGTTTGGGAGTTAAATGTTCAGAGAAACTTTGTGCATCCAGAAAAGAAACACAGGCTCTAACAGCTAGCAGTAGAGAAAAGAATCTTTGAGCTGCAGACAAGAGAAACATCTGCTTGCTATCGAAAGCCTGATATGACTTGCAAACTGCTGTTTATTAAGTAGTTACTAGTAGACCGAATGAATTGGATTATAGCATTGAGGCAACAATACGTTAGCTAGGATTTACATTGATTCCTGACAATTTGCTACACATGGACATCATGGTAAGACACGAGCGAGCAATCGCACATAGTGACTAGATCTTAATGGAAGAACGGTAATGGAAAGATAGTTTTTGCTACGGCTTGCCTCTGATCCCTAGCTATTCTTGGATGCAGTCTCCGGGTTGCTAGCCAATACTGACGAAAGGTCTATCGCCACAAAAGCTATTTATCAATACGGCAGCATAGTCCCTGGGACAACAAAGTTACCATATACAAATTTGAGCCCGTATACTAATTGTATATAAATGACGAGATTGAAAACTGCATATTAAACAACCTGACATTCAAAAATCAAGACTGAAAGCATTTTAAAGACACTCGGTTCTGCCCAAGGAAATAGAGAACTTGAAACCCCCTACTTCAACGCGATGCAGACCAACCACGTTATCGGAGTTATAGTTATTGCCCTCATTGCATGTATGATTTTATTCGGTATGGGCATTTACTACTCTATCCAAGCCATACAGAGACGTCGCTCCCGGAGAGCCCAGCTTTTGGCAGAACCAACGATAAGTGGAACACAAGGGACTCGGTCGCTATTTTCCTCGTTAGAATCCTCGCATCAATGGAGTCAAGAGTCGCGATCGTCGAGTTCGACGCAATCACATTCGACTCCGGCCTCGTCTCAATGGAACGGTAGAAGACATCGTCCGACCGAAGCAAGGCCTAAAAGATCTCATAGACTCCCCAATATTGTGGAAGAATGGCCAAATGAGGGATCCCGAGGAATTTCACCAGAAGATACCTCCCAAGGAACAGCAGAGTCTCCTCCACAGCTAGAACCAGAAATGCCAGGATCTTACAACCGGTCCATCAGACCCAGTATACGTCAGGTCGGGCTTGGTAATGCTCGTGTAAAGGAACGTCTTGTACATTCATAGAAGGTGTAGATCGATATTGATCACTTTCTCCGTCGCGTAGAAGGCAATTCATTTATATAAGCACATGTATGCTATCATAATGATCCTTATCAGGTTGCCGATTTGAAGTGTAGAGTACCGTCGTTTTATATGTGAACTTTCCACTGCCCACAACTTTCGTTACTTGGAACCTTTTCTGATGATGAGATTTCGTGTTTCGTTGTTACGTGGTATGTTTTAAGTTTACCTTCATCATCCAGTATTTCCACTTTCGTCCACTTCCAGCATTAAATCCAGGGCTTCCAATACTCCCACTCTTCGCTTTGTTTGTCGACCCATAACATACTCTCTGAGACTAGATCTTCAATTGCTGTCTTGGCTCTTGCTCTTGGCCATCGAAGATTTAACATGAGCATTCCGACGCTAACATATCCAAGTAGCTGCGCAGCTTCCAGAACTGCACTCTGATCTGTGTTGAGTTCTTTGGGTATCGAACGGATATATGTTTTATGGCCAACGGTTATAGTGGAATAGGAAGAACCCAGGGGTTTTAGGGGTAGTCACGGCACGAAAGGATATCATCACTAGGATACCAATTAGCATTTGTTATAGTCACAAGAGTAACATAAGGTGATCAATACTCAGATATTTCAGCTCCACCTTCCAATTCGTGTGCTCAGGATTCTGTCTTGACTTCTTTAACACCAATAAGGCCCACCATTCTCTTCCCGTGTAGCGCCACAGACTTCCACAACTCTCACTGCCAACTCAAATAGAAATCATTTCACACTTGTACCAAGCATCTGAGCCCAAAAACTTCCACTCCCATCTCTACCTCCGGCATTATTACTACTAGCTAAGGGGTCCACTCCGATAGCTGAACACATGCGCGCAAACTCGGCGCGGAAAGTGGGATTCGAACGTATATCTTTGGCATGAGTTTGAGCAAATTGCTGAAGTAAGAAGCGAAAGACCGATAACTGGAGTAGCTATAGATGTGGAATGAGCGCTGCGAAGATTATTTCCGTGAGATGCGTATTGAGCAGAGGTGATTCGAGACCTATCGAAAGCTGCTAGACCAACACCTTTGCGAGACATCGTGGCAGCTATTTTATGAAATGGATTTGAAGTCTTACAGTGCAGTTGACATTGAATGCTTTGAGATAACGATAAGACATCGGTGTGTGATCTGGGGCGATGGATGGAGCTAACCTGTTTCGGTGTTAGTCCATTTCGCTAATTGAATGGCTCGCACTTTTTGCAAATCGAAAATTACACTCAGAAAGAGAACGTTCCGCGACAACGACGACAACACTTTACAACCACCTCGACAATCCACGCCAAGGTGAGCTCACATTCCGACCTGATTTGATTTGCGGTTGTCCTGGAGTTTTGGGGTATGGAAGGATTTATGCGTTGCTTGGAGGTTCTGGAACTCGACCATTAGTCTTTTTTCGACATTCGACAAAAGCGTTACCAATTATTTTCGACGATACGGAATGGCAAATTTGGAGGAATAAGAAGCTAACATCTATTCGATTTTAAAGGAAAATTATCCAAGATGGCTTCCAACCAGTCTGTTCAGTGTTTCGGAAAGAAGAAGACCGGTAAGAATTTCAATCCGAGTCTCGCTCTCTGGAATTGAATCAAGACTGACATTTTTTTTCCCAATAGCCACCGCAGTTGCCCACTGCAAGGTACGAACTCCCTCGACAGGAATCTCACAGATTCACAACGAACCCCCGAGAACTCAAATACTGATTAGAAGGATAGGCCGGAAGGGACTTGTTAAGGTCAACGGAAAGCCTTTGAACTTGGTTCAACCAGAGGTCTTGAGATTCAAGGTCTACGAGCCCCTCTTGATCGTCGGTCTCGACAGATTCGCCGGTGTTGACATCCGTGTCCGTGTTACCGGTGGTGGTCAAACCTCCCAAATCTATGCTATCCGTCAAGCTATCTCCAAGGCCATCGTTGCCTACTACCAAAAGTTCGTCGATGAGCACTCAAAGAACCAATTGAAGCAAGCCCTCGTTACCTACGACAGAACCCTCTTGGTTGCCGATAACAGACGTTGCGAGCCAAAGAAGTTCGGAGGTCAGTTATTTTCTATGGCAGGTACTATCGAAATTTTGGCTAATGTTTTCAATAGGTCCCGGTGCCAGAGCCAGATACCAAAAATCTTACCGTTAAATTTGTGGTTTTATGGGGTTGGATTTGGGGGAGTGGTCATGCTGCATTTGCATTGGGCTGGCTTTTTACGCCGGTTTATAGAATTTTAAGCAAGTAAATGCAAGATTCTTCCGAAATGTTCATAATATGAGGAGCATATGGCAATGGAGATGTTGAACAATGCTACGACAACGTGCCGAGGATTCGCAAGAGTTCTGTTATGTGATTATCTGGTGATCAGGGGTTCGCTTCAATCGACGAAAAGCACGAGGTAGAATGGCCACAACTACAAATACACTTCCCATTCCCAGCAATTGCCTACATCTTGACCGTGTGTGAGGGATTACTGCACAGTGAAAGCATCATGCACGGGGTTTCCGCCTGTTTCATTCCAGATATTGATGACGTCAAACTTTGTGATTTAAGTCCTTTCTAAGTTTGAAAAGAATATCATTCAGAATTGCAGTGATGCTTGAAGTATATCCTCTATAGAGTCCCAATTCATGTTGAATGTCAGCCAGCCAGCGAAAACTCCACAATCAAGTTGAACCATACGCCCGTTCCCATACCACCCAAACTGCGTCTCTAATCCTTAATGTTTGCCAGAATCGTCTTCATCATCTCATTACCTACTCTAGTTGCCTCTGGAAATCTTGGAGCGAAAAACATTTGCGTCTTCTCAAATCTATCTTTCCAACTCTCGAAATCTCCAAACTCTACACACTCGCTCCATCCCCTAGCTGCAAATGTAAATTCCAAATCGTCAGAACGAAATGTATTGTCTTCAATAGCAGTATTGATAACTTCATCCAACAATTTATCATTTCTGAATAGGTATTCTGAGACACCGAGCCAGAGACGAAAGAGAGGTGTGCTACAGATCATATGATCATATGGACTAATGTTGAGACGAGCCCAACAATCAACGATAGCGAGAAGAGAGAGATGATTGTTTGGCGTTGGTTTTTCAGGCTTTTTACCTAGGGAGAAACGATCAAGTACTTCATCGCGCAAGAGTAACTCATCAGACTTTTTTCGTCCAGCAAAGACGAATCGTCCTGCGCTCTTGATTCGCTCCTCTAACTCTCTTCTGTGCCCTCCAAGCATTAGTTTGTATAGATCCGTGACACTTGACGCGTACTCTCTGATCTGTTCTTTGGCGTAAGGGTTTAGGATGGCGAGACCAGCATAAACGTGCCATTTCTGAGAGTAGATGCGGAGGGTAAGATTAATCTTGACATTTTCAATACCACCAACATATCGGGCTATTTCCCAAGGGAATTGGAGATTGGCGTGCCAGGCTTTGCCCATGGATAAAAAGGCTGCATGGGTCACGGCTTGGGTATCTGCTGTTATGCGGTCGTGTTGAGAAGCTGAGAGAACATGTTGTTTGGAGCCGAGGCATGAGAGAACATGCTCAACCTTTTCGAAGTTCTCTTGGGATGCACGATGTTTGATCAAAACCTATGATTTTCTTAAGCACGTGAGGTCGTGATATGACTGTGATACTTACGAGTGGTTGACCTCGAGGATCTACGTTGGGACCATGAAGAGAATGGCAAGATACAATATCAACGTCGGCAGGAAGATACTTTTCAAAGGCAGCTATCTCAGGAGCTTTGCAAGAAGTTTGTCCTCCAACTATGGCACCTTGCTTGGTGGCTACACAGGGTGTTAGAAGATGAAGGTGACGGGATCATGTACAGCATACAGGGACCATATTCAGCAACAACCTTGCCGATTGCGGCAGCTTCGACATTATAGATGGTATAATCACTTGCTCTGGAAACGAGGTGGCCATTGGGAAGAATTGTAATTTGTTTCTATGGATGTCTCAGCACAAGCTGCAGGACAAGAACTATCTAAACACTGGGTATTTACTCTATCTGCAAACTCTTCACACAAAGCTTCATATTTGTCCTCCCTATCGCAGGCGTTCACTCTGCCCCAAGAACATCAGTAGTGGTCGGATATTAAACATTATAACTATAGATTTATTGTTAGCTTCTGCGATTCCAAAAGGTAACAAAAACGGCAGAAGTAGTTTGATTGATTCAGACAAAATAAAATAAGGTAGCTGAGATTTTTCATCATTGAAAGCCAGCTTCCGACCTGGTACCAGAATGGTAGTCAGGTCATCTGAAGGCGATACTCGAGCCAAATGCACTCAGGTCATCATTATAAGAGGAATGAGGGTGAGAAAAAAGAGGGTGCTTACCATTGCAAAAGCGGGCTCAACGAAAACTCAATTGGGGGAATTACCTCCATCCAGCATCGCTGAGCCTGCGGGCATACATCTTGCCCATATCACCCATACCAATGATGCCGATAACAAAATTGTCCATCTTTCCTTCAAGATTGGACTTGGTTGAAGTCGCCATTGTGCGTGATACTAAACCAGCTACTCCGGCAAACTGTGTATTTTAAATACCCTTCGTAAGTTCCCAAACCGAGGCCAATGGTCTGAATTCGACACGATATGAAAAATCGGAGAATCTCAACGCATGGAAAATATTTGTTGTTGTGGTTGTGTATGAAAGAAAAGTTCCAGTCGCGCGACGGAAACTTTATGCCTTTTTTTTTGAAGCCCCGTAACGCTAAGGAAAGCTGTGCACCATTCCTAATTCAGATTAGCGCGCACAAATTCGCCAAATTTTGGAATTCGAATCTCTACCCATTCATTTTGAAAACCTCTGATATTTTCGAAAACTTCGTCGATCAATCCTTCAGCAACTAACCGTCAACATGCCTCCAAAGAAAGCAGCACGCCCAGCGCAAGAGAACATCAACCTTGGTCCTTCGATCAGGGAAGGTAAGCAATTATTAATTCCTGGAGGAATTTTGTACGGATTGCTAACCCCGCTGTGCAGGTGAACTCGTTTTCGGTGTCGCCCGTATTTTCGCATCTTTCAACGATACCTTCGTTCACGTCACTGATCTTTCGTACGTACCCCCCAGGCAAAATTTTATAGTCAGGAATTTAGTGTTTTGATTTCATATATTGCACATTTTGGAACGAAAAGGTTCATAGGCTGACTTTCTGGGTGATTCCAGTGGCCGCGAAACCATCTGCCGTGTTACCGGTGGAATGAAGGTCAAGGCCGATCGTGACGAGTCTTCCCCATACGCTGCTATGTTGGCTGCTCAAGATGTTGCTACCCGCTGCAAGGAATTGGGCATCACTGCTCTCCACGTCAAGATCCGTGCTACCGGAGGTAAGAACACATTCGAGAAATCTTCAAATTGCGGCAATGAAATCTAATATCAACTCTTTACAGGTAACGGAACCAAGACCCCAGGTCCAGGTGCTCAATCCGCTCTCCGTGCCCTTGCCCGTACCGGCATGAAGATTGGCCGTATCGAGGATGTCACCCCAACTCCATCCGACAGCACCCGTCGCAAGGGAGGTCGTCGTGGTCGTCGTTTGTAGACGTGTCAATTCTTTGGCTACACGCATGGAGCAGAATATGGGTTTTATTGTGCAATTGATGACAACTACGCGGGGAACGGCATTTACTGCCTGGTCTCCATATCTCAAATCTGAAATCTGGGCTTGGATCGACCTTGTCTCATTTGTCACATAAGCGCTTTAGCAAAGTGCAGCCATGAATATCACGAATTTTCAAATGACTTCAATCAAATCGCGCCTGCCTATTATATGTGATGTGACAATTTTGTTTGTATACTTTATCAATCGCAAATATATACGAAAGTGCCCTTCTTGAATATCAATCCTAATATACACCGCTGAATTATCCATGCCCAAATGACCCCTTTGTAATACCAAGTAATCCTCCATTTCAGAACTTCTTAAACCATGCCACATCCATTAATATGAGCCTCCTCAGAACACCATCTCCCATTGCACCTCGACCTAGATACACCCTCCATGCCAGCCTTGTATAATACAACCCAAAACCAAGCCATTATTCCATCCATCTATAACGGGTATCCAGTGATCATAATGTCGAAGAAGAAAGCCATTAAATCGTAAAATCGTGAGTATATGCTCTTGGAGTAAGCGAGAACTCAAGAAGTCGTAATTAAAAAGGTTGTGGTAATACACTTGCTTCATCCTGTTTCTCGGGGAAGAATCAGGGGAGCTGAGAATTGAAAGTTCGAAAAGAAAGCTGCGGAAGGAGTAGTTGAAAAAAAAGTCGGGAAAAGGAAAGCCGAATAAAAGGAGAGTCGAAGATTAGGATACATTTCAAAGAGCCCACGAGAAACCAGAGCGGCTGATGCGATTGGTCTTGGACTTCTTGGGTTTGTCAGATTTGCGACCTAGAGACGCAACACGAGGATTTGGTTAGACTATTGGTGGGAACGAAAGAAATGATGGGGAAGCAGGGAGGAGGCCGCAAACGCAGGAGATGGTATCGGAGACAAATAGTGTTGGATAAGAACTATGTAATAAGTGGTGTAGAGTACAAGCAGTGTGTGACATGATTTGAATTGCTACAGAATTATTCGATCCTTCTCGAGTCCTTCTTCATCGAGATCGACTATCATTGGCGCGTACTCACCTCGTTCATCCTCGTCTTCGAAATCCTTGAGCTCGGCATCAATCATCTCTCCGTCCTCCAGCTGAAATTTTCCAGACCTAAGATAATTTCCTCGTAGATCCCAGCCCCACTTCCACAGCCACGACTCAAAGCATTCGAATGCCTTACCTACTTCCTCTTGGTCGCGTGTAATATTAGTACCGTAGGAGAGAAGTTGTTCATTCAAGCGGGACTTGAACTTGGTAAGAACGATCTTCAAATCGTCGCCAAGATGAGAATCATGATCGAAGATACTAGTGTCGAATCCCTCTTCATCATACATAAACTGGGCATGGACGGCGGTGATGACCTTACGGAAGAAAACCGGCTGATCCATAGAAAGACGATAGGCTCCGAATAGCTTGTTGACGATGATACCCCACTGTTCCATACACGCAAGGTTGCCGAGGATCATTCCGGTGATGTAACAGAATTGCAACTCTCCAATAATCTCATCAGAGTCCTCATATGTGCAACGTCCGATAGCCTCAACAATATAAGACGTACTATCGATTGCTTGCTCGGTGCGCTCGCGACCTGAAGAAGATTCTGAGAAGGTACGGGCATTTCTTGGGAAAACGAAGTTTAGAAATTCGTCTCCGTCGAAATTTGTGCTGCCACCCTTAACGTCACGAGGTGCGCTTGAAGCCTGTAGTTCTGTAGTTTTGATGTCATGACTAGACGAGACTTTCCAACTATTCCACTCGCCACCTGTGACTCTCTTGAGGTAGGGGTGCTTGATGCAGAAGGTTAAGCGACGCCACTTGTCGGTGTCATCGATACTATGGGCAGTGATTGGAGAACTTGGAGAGCCAACGGGAGTTGACGACGTAGAAGTAGAGGGGACGGGATCTGGAGTCGACGGAGCACTCAAGTATGGCTCGAGCTTGTTGACGATTTCGGAAACGCTTGACTTTTGGATGCGCTTTTCGGCTTCGCTAAGCTCTTCCTCCAAGGACTCGTGGTAACTATCCCATCTTAAGACATGAATGTCACCCAATTCATCCGAGGCCAACTTCATTGTCATCAGCCAAAAACCGGTTCGTGAAGATCCATTGCCGGACCCACCCCAAAAAAAGTGAGCACCCGCCGGGATCTGCTTGACGCCCTCAAGTGTTCCCTCAGTCTTAATGGTATAGGCCTTCGTATCATACCCAAAAATTGTACCGACTGGAAGGTTTCGAATGATGACGGCATCACCATGCTCCAAAATTTCGTGATGCTCCACACCACGCTCTCCGGTTGGCGATGGGGAGTGGACTCTTAACGTGCCAAGGGGATAGCTTCCAACCACATTGACAGAAGTGACCGACTTTTCTGATTTCATTGACAAAACAGAAGTATGTGAATTTGACTTCAGTAGTGTAGTTTTGCTAACTTCTCCAGCATTACTTGCGTTAGAATCACCACGCGATCGCCTCTGTCCATCATCGCCATGGGTGATAGCAAGTGACGCAAAACCCAGTCTTGGACTGCTTCCATTGGATTTAATTGATAATTGGCTGGAAAGGACTGACACATGTGATTTAGCGGTCGAAGGGCTTCTTTGTAGGGAAATCTGATGCTGAATGAAAGAAGGGTCAGATTTTGTTGTTGATTCTTCGATCTTGGTTGTTTCCGAGATCGACTCGTCCATAGTAATTGGAGAGGAGTTATTCAAAATTGTGTCATTAACAAAAGGGTCTTCACCGATGTTTGCCATTGTGAAAGTTCCTGCAATAAAGCAACCTGTAGATTGTGGTATTTGTGAATAAACAATTTTGGAAATTATAAGTGTGTGGATGGATAGTCTCAACGTCACAAAATAATTACCGAAGTAACCAAAACTAACAGATAAATAATAATAAGACTTCTGCCGCTTTTCTCCGAACTTGGCCGATTGGATCTTCGAACTCAAAATGTGTTTGTTGGCGTGGAGTTTATTATTTTGAGGAGGTAAAATCCAAACTTGGGGGCTTTACCAAATTTTGAGAGAAATTAACTAAAAGTTTTTCTAAGACTAAAGCCCACTAGGACTTTTCATTTAGAAGTCTTTCAGATGAGATATATCTGCAAATGGTAGCATTGTACTCCTCATGAAGACTTTTTCAATATGTGACCATCTAGAAACTTTTTTGATATTGGTCGGCTCCGGAATAACAGAAAGGCCGATTCTCCTAAAGTTGCCAGACATTGAAACATGAGTTCACAGGTGTAGTAACTCTCTCTGAAAGATCTTAGGCAAGAGGTTATTCTGAATGATGGTATCCATTCGAGATTAGATTCTAGCTCTGTCTGGTTGAAAGAAGGTACAAATTTATCATTCATATATTATATTGTCTTTCTAACATGTATTGAACCTGATCATCCTTTTCGCTTATGTAACCTCAAAGTCAATGCAGCAAGGGTCCCACATGGCGGAGAAGCCCCACCATTTTGACATCAGTTTAAAGCTTCCTTATTCCATCGAAACCGGTATCCCTACAAAGTACGCCAAAAATAGAGCACTGCATGGAATTGCTATTGCTGCAGCCTTGAAAGAATGAGTTCAGGTCAAACAACTGCGCCGATTGCTTCTGGCCAGTCTGGAACAAATGTAGGTGGAAATGCTCAACAGACTGCGGGTTCTGAGCCTGAAGAAGTATGGGATGAAGCAAAACTCGAGCAGGCGATGAAAACTCTAAAGGAAATGCACATTCAAGTCAGCCCCTTCTTTCCCCGAAGAAAATCACAGTGAGCATTAGCTGATACGGTATTTAGTGTCGCAATCTACGATCTACAATTCCAAGACTCCTTACGCCTTTGGCAACCAAGCAGCAATCACGTACGTTCCAATTCTACGACTCCAATTCCCAGCTTCTGATATTTGTAGCTGACCAATACAAAAAGCTGAGCAGCTCTTTTCTTCCTTTCAACAAGCCGCAACAACTTCAAATAAGGAAGTTCGAGATTTCACACGATTGATGAAGGATGAAGAGGGTGTGAAACTCTTTGAGCATGCAAAGAAGAGTCGAGCTGAGAATCCACATGGAATAAAACCATGGAGAGTTACAGAACATCCTGATTGGCTTGATAGAGATGCATGATTTTCTCACCGCGACAATACATTTCGACATGCTCAGACCGGAGAATGTGCCATAGAATCTAGGCGTACTTGCGGCTTTTTGGGTAGAGGGCAGGTCTTGGGATACCCGGTACAGGGCGTTAGGCAATTTTGATAGCACACGGCGGGAAAGACATATTTCGATATCCTAACAACCTAGAGTTCAATGCTCCTACCAACAGCAATAGTACCCTTTCTCTATTCTACGATTGATCATATACGATGAATCATAAATCTACTAACACATTTTCCGCAGGATTTATTGAGAGAAACTATGAACATCTGAAGTACCCAATAGCGGCTGAATACCTTTGAAGATTACTTGTGTTCCTGAGCTCAGGCCTCATCAACATTATCGTAAAGCACTGTAACATACAACGAGCAATGTCACAGTTATTATTGATGATTTAAACACGTAATTATTATCTGTACCATACCTTGAAATAATTGTATGAATGCAAATATGTGACCAGTGGATGATCCATTATATATGAATGAAATTCACAATGCATCGACTTCTTTCAAGGTTCAGAACAATGTGCTAACTAATCGGATGCCGATTTCTTATTGGCTTATGATAATTTTTCCAACCTTTGAAGCTGTGTCCTCAACCAACGCCAAAATTGAGTGAATAGTATAGAATTGAATTTACGAAATCGTCAGTCATCTTGATTCTTTATTACTTTGATAATTTATTCCTTCGATTCAAGTTGATGCGTACTTGCCTATATTCAACTTATTGATCTTTTTGTTAGGGCACGAAGCCATTTTGGTGCCAAAAAGGTCGCTTAATTTTTTTCTGCCCCGCGCATCAACAATCCTACGGGCAACCTTTTCGACACCTCTAGGCTTACCAAATCTCAACACCATCAACATGTCTAGATTTTTCCGCGGTGATAGCTCCAGCGACAGCTCCTCCGACGAGGAGGAGGATCTCTATTCCGATGACGAAGAAGTTCAAGAACAGCCCGAAGAAGAATCTTCTGAAGATGACTCTGAGGAGGACGATGATGATGATGATGACTCCGATTCCAGCAGCGATGATGGAGTTGGCAAAAAGACCGGAGCGAACGCTTTCTTGAAGGACGATTCCGATTCCGATAGCGAGAGTAGTGGAGATGAGGGCGTGAAGGTCGTCAAGTCTGCGAAGAACAAGCGATTCGAAGAACTCGAGGCAACCGCAAAAGCTATTGAAAATGGCGAGAAGATTAACGATTGGGGATCGATCTCAGCAGGTCAGTAAAATCTATCCAAGAAATCACAGGGAAATTTAGCTAATTAATTTGTTGTAGAGTTCGACAAATTGAACCGCCAAGTCGCCAAACTTCTACAATCAGGCACAATCCCAAAGGTCTACATCAAAGCTATTGCTGATCTGGAGGATTTCATGAATGAGACCTTGGCAAAGCAGAAGGTGACACCAAAGAAGATGAACGCCACAAATTCTCGCGGTTTGAACGCTGTTAAGCAGAAGATCAAGAAGGCCAGCAAGGAGCACCAGAAGGACCTAGAATCATTCAGAGCCGATAAGGACGCGTACATGGAATCAGAAGACGAGGAAGTTGTGGCACCAAAACAAAAGAAAACAAAGTCCTCTTCTGCAGCACAGGATGTTGCCGCCGATGATGATGATGAAGGATGGGGAACTGTTGGTAAGGGTGGACGAACTCTTCAATTCACACCAGAGAGCATTCTCAAGCATTTGAGGACCATTCTCGAATCCAGAGGAAAGAAGAACACCGACCGCAATGAACAAATTAAGATTATGGAGAAGTTGTACGAAGTAGCAGCCACTCCATACCAACGCATCAGAGTCCTATTAACCCTCATTTCAACGAGATTCGACATGACCACTGGTACTCAAACTTTCATGTCCCAAGAACAATGGAACGCAGCAGAGAAGGAATTTGCAACCCTCCTGAGTGTGCTTGAGACAAGTCGAGAATATGCAGTTGTGGAGACCGCTGAACCTTGGGAGGATGATGAAAAGCTTCCTACAGTTGCCGAAGGCGCAAAGTTCGCGATTCCAGGAAGCGTCGTCTCTTATGTTGAAAGACTTGATGATGAACTTACAAGATCACTTCAACACATTGATCCTCACACGGCCGAATACATCGAACGTCTTTCTGACGAGAGTGATCTTTACAACAACATTGTCAGAACTATGTTGTACCAGGAGGAGATCAGCAAGGACGCCAGCTTGAACGAGCCTCAACGTAGCTTGAACAGAGTTGTCATGAGAAGGTTGGAGCACGTATACTTCAAGGTTTGTAATATCTCATCTCCGTATCATAATTTTTTACTTATAATTCTATAGCCATCCGCAGTCATCAAGATCCTCGATGAGAACTGCTGGAAAGCAGTTCCTGCAGAGCTCGATTCCACCATCACACCACGCGGCTCTGTTGAAGATGCCAAGACCTTGGTCAACGTTCTCTGCAATTACCTTTACATCAACACTGAGGGTGAAGGACTTACTAAAGCAAGAGCTATGCTTTGCCAAATCTATTTCGAAGCTTTACACGACAACTACTACAAGGCTCGTGATATGATGCTTATGTCCCATTTGCAAGAGACTATCAATTCTTTCGATGTTCACAGTCAAATTTTGTTCAACCGTACTCTTGTTCAAGTTGGTCTCTGTGCTTTCCGAGCCGGTTTGGTCTATGAGGCTCAAACCACCCTCCAAGAAATCTGTGGCAGCGGCCGTCAAAAGGAATTGCTTGCCCAAGGTGTCATGATTCAAAGATATAACCAAGTCACACCAGATCAAGAACGTCTCGAAAAACAACGTCAACTCCCATTCCACATGCACATTAACCTCGAGCTCCTTGAATGTGTTTACCTCACCTGCAGCATGCTTCTCGAAATTCCTCTGTTCGCACAAACTGGCTCATCCCCTGATATCAAGAAGAGAGTCATCAGCAAGACATACAGACGTATGCTCGAATATCATGAGCGTCAAATCTTTACTGGACCTCCAGAAAACACCAGAGATCATGTCATGCAAGCATCAAAGGCCTTGGCCCAAGGTGAATGGAAGAGAGCAACCGAATTTATCCACTCTATTAAAATTTGGGAACTTATGGCCAAGCCTGAGGAGATCAAGGCAATGCTCTCAGCGCAAATCCAAGAAGAAGGTCTCCGAACCTATCTCTTTACATACGCTCCTTATTACGATACTCTATCCGTCAACAGACTCTCATCAATGTTTGACCTCTCTGACCGAAAGGTTGCTGCCATCGTCAGCAAGATGATCAGCCACGAGGAACTTGCAGCCGCATTAGACCAAGTCAACTCCTCGATCATCTTTAGAAAGGGTGTTGAGTTAAGCAGACTCCAAAGCTTGGCATTGAGCCTCAGCGACAAAGCTAGTGGCTTGATTGAAAGCAACGAGCGTACACTCGAGACAAGAACACAAGGCACAGCCAATGCTTTCGAGAGACAAGGCGGCCGAGGTGGACGTGGTGGTAGCAGAGGAGGTCGTGGTGGTAACCGTGGTGGACGTGGTGGTATCTCCAATGCTCCAAGGCAAGCTGGTGGAACACAATTTACCGGTGGCGCTTTGGGAGCTGCTGTAGGTAGCAGAGCTTAAATACGGATGGATAGATGTGTTAATGCATTGGGAATGGGTTGCTTACAGCGCTGTAATTGGCCCAAAGGCGTTTTAATGTAGGGCTTAGGAAAAGCTAGGTTCATGCTCCACGAAGACAAAAGAATGAAATTTTTTGATCATATTTTTGGTGTTACATTTAAGGCTCCTAGACCTGTATTCCTAAACCTTTATCACTTATTTTAATGTCTCATTTTGCGATGCAGAAGATGTATCACATATTGAAACAAACTTTTTTCGGATTCAAGGCAATCACGCACAGAAGAGACAATAAAATACGTTACCAGTCAATCCGGAGAAACATTTTACTGCCAATCTCCATTAGTATATCGAATAACGTTACCAACAATAGAAGCTTCCAAGTTTTAGATTTGGCACTCTAGTTTGTATATCTCACTTCATCTCATTTCACCAACAATCATGTTACATGTACACTCGAGACCAACGATTGACGGGACGCTGTCCAACTTTTTTTTTTTTACTTTCTAATAAATCCAGCCTTCAATTAATCTAGCTCCGAATATACAATCTCGTTATTCGATCCAAAATGTGTCACTTCTTGGAATCTCCAAACCTTTAGATCAGCATTCTCAAAAACATCTATCTCCAAAATCCGTCGTCTCAGTGTCTCGTCACTCTGTACAATCACCGATGAAAATTTTCCCCAGATCTCACCTCGCACAATGCTGGCTTCAGACTTCGGGTATGACCCCCCACAACGGTGTTGCACAATGTAAAGTGATAGAAGGACTGACTGAAACATGTATGTATGTCAGACCGTTGGTGATCGATCAGGGAGGAGGAGGAGGTACGAAGTAGGTACGGTGGGTGGAACGGATGGGTGGGTGATACAGATACAGGTACGGGTACGGTGCTGGGGAGGTTTGAGTTTTGTGGAGAAATGCGGAGAACCCGGTTGTGGAGAGGTGATGGATGAGGAATTGTGTGGGAGTGTTGTGTGGTTGGATTTTTGCGAGGTGGGATTTGTGCCGAGGTGGTAGATCGATAGATAGAGAGTTGGGTGTACATGTATATGTATATGTATTTTGTGTATATCAGTTCATACCTACGCGGTATAAAGATCTGATTTGCTATACTATACTATACTATACTACACCATTCCATCGAACCGAGCTATCCTACTCAAAATCCCATGCTGATGAGATTCGAACATCATGACAAGATCCCCAAACGCGAGTACGCGAGATGAGGGGTTACATGCATATCTCGTATAGAAACTTGATTACAGAGTTTCTCGTACCGAACGAGTATTTCCAATGTTACGGTTGTGATTGATGAGGTCATTGTAGGGTGAGAGTTACTGTAGGACTGTAGGAGAAGATTATAGTCATATTGTACTGTACTGATCTGGTGGAGAAAGGGAATGAGGGGTACAGATACAGGAGATACTTGGGACACTTAGGATACGAGATGTGTGTCTGATGATCGATTTCTTAGGTAGATGAGTAGATGGAGATTTCGTTAGAGTCGTCTATGACATCCTCATATACTCTCCTAGACATGTACTACCAACCCTAAATCTCTAAATGTCTATAAAATCCAAACCCTCCCCCCTTTTCCCATATCATATCTTCACTTCTTCTTCATCCTTGAGTATTATCCTCAACATCATCAATCTCTCCAAGAACTTCCAGAAATAAACCTAACAAACAAACAAATAAAAATGCATACCAATTTCCTCCTCCTCACCGCATTCGCAACATCAGCTCTCGCGGTCTCGGTCCCGCGCGCAGTGAGTTCCTCGAGTTTGATCCCGGATGTGCAGTGGAAGGTTTCGGGGTTTACGAGACGTGAGTTTTATTCTTTTTGTGTTGTGGTTTTATGTTTTATATGTTTTATGTTTTATGTTTTATGTTTTATGTTTTATGTTTTATGTTTTATGTTTTATGTTTATGTTTTATGTTTTATGTTTTATGTTTTGATGCTTCGATGAGGAGGGGAGGTTTGTTTCCTAGGGGAGGAAATGCGGGATAAGTGGATGAGAAGGAGAAGAGGGAATAAAGATATATATGAGGAGGTGACAAAATGTGAAGGAGACGATTGACATAGAAGAGAAGTCTCTATCAACAGAAAAACATACTAACCCACACCCAGCATGTACCGCCACAATCTGCACATACAACTTCACTATCAGTGTGATCCCCAGCAGTGGTCCCATAGTCAATAGTACGTTCCCCCTCTCCTCCCATCCTCCCATCCACATCCCATCTAACGCCCCCACCTCCAGTCCCCTGCCTCTACAACGACTCCTTCAGCACACCCCCCACGTCCTCCACCCCCCAAACACACTCCTACTCTGCGCTCTCCTGCAGCAGCAGCCTCGTCGATGGCAAAGCGGTCCCCAGCCATTGGCAGGTAAATTGGGGATATAATCCCAATGGAGATTTTGCAGTCATGACGATTGTGGATACCGGGAAGGGGAATGATGCGTTTTTGTGAGTTTTTGGTTTCTTTACTTTGGGTTTTTGGTTGTTTTTTAGAGGGGGGAGGGGATGATGTGTATTTTCAACCTCGCGTTCCAATCCCCCTTAACTTCTCTTCCCCCCTTCCCCCATTCATCCCCTCTCTCTCCCCCTCTCCCCTCCACCCCTTCCACCCCTTCCACCCCTTCCACCCCTTCCACCCCAAAAAAACAAAAACAAACAAACAAACTAACCCCTCCCCTCCCAAAACAGCGGCTGGAACCAAATAACCAGCACCACCACCTTCGAAGACAAAGGACCCAACACCGTTTACAAACTTGGTACATTTACCTAAATCATATGCAAATTTCGATTCCAAATTTCCATCCCACTCCAAATTTCAACCCCACACAAATTATTTTCCCATCTCCAGGAACCGATTATCGACAACTTCCCCTTTTCAACCTTCAACCTTCAACCTTCCATTTCCCTCCCTCGCTCGCTCGCTCGCTTACTCGAGAGACCCAGCTAGAAAGAACTTGGCTTTGCTTGCTTGCTTGCTTCCTAGCTAGAGAAAACCTAACTCGAGAGTGAATAAATATCTCAAAGTGTGAGTGAGAAAAAGATCCGGATGCAGTTGCACGGGTGAGTGTGAACGGGCTATTGGAACTTGGAACTTAAAACTTAAAACTTAAAACTTGAAACTCAGGAGGAGAATTACTGGCTGTGTGTTCTTTGTTCTTTCTTTCTTTCTTTCTCTTTTTCTTTGGCGGGGATAGTAGGGGGACGGACAGTTTTGATTTGATTTTGATTTTGATTTTGATTTTGATTTCGATTTTCCTTCTCATCTTGATTTTTCCTTCTGGCTTGGTTTCAACCGTATCGTTTCACGAATTAGAGAAGCGAGGTGGCAAAAGAGATGGATGGATAGGGGTGGAGGAATGGATCTGCGTACCAAAAAAAAAGGAGTGATTCAGAAAAATGGATATTATCAATGCGAAAGTCTACCTACCCACTTGATATTCGGAGCTTCATCAAAGATGAGATTGACATGTGAATAAATCCCGTTTGCCCAAGAGAAGAGTCTACCAATATCAACATTGATGCAAGAAGCCTGATTCAAGTAATTGTTGTATTCTTGATTCATCCATGATGACAATCCTATGTATCCGACGATTGCACCTACTCCGCCGTGCTGTCCCAACCGAAGCACTAAAGGATATCTTCCAACGCCCTTCGCCAATGCATGCATATAAATGCTATGGTACAAAAATTTGTTAAATCTACCACCCATTCCGATCTACTACACCTCCATATATATTCCCACCCTTTCCTGAACGCCTCGATAAAATCTAATGAAATGCTCAATCGTATCAACTATTTGAATTCATCTTTCAGAACCCACTTAGCCCTCATCCTACTATTCGTGCCATGTTCACATATTGCAACTTCTGTCAGAGTATGCTTGAATTCAGCCGTCACTCGATCAGAAGTACAATATCGATTAAAATGGTTGACTACGGCCTGACTTGGAACTGAACCGCCCATTCTCTTGATGAAATCAACAATCATCTTAGCAAAATCATGACGTTGACGCCCAGCTGGACGATTTGGAGTTGCAGCGCGTGAGCTACTCGAGCTAGAAGGCTGCGTGATACCTTGTCTGTTTGAAAGACTTGATAAAACACTTGATGAACTTGGACCTGCACCTCGTCTAACATTAGTCGGTCTGCCGGCGGATCCATATTCTCCAGTCCAAGTGACAGTTCCAGGTGCAATGCTTCTTGCTGCTTCTCCAGCACGTCTCAGTGCTGTAGCAGATTCAGCAGCAATTTTCTTAGCTTCACGCTCAATCATGCCACGGTCTGCCGCAACCTTCATCTTCCCATTAATGATTTGATCGTGTTCAAGAGCACTATGGACTCCAGAACGAGCAAAGATGCCTTCCATTAATCTAGACTCTTCGTTGTTATCTTTATCTTTCTCCTCAGAAGGATCATTGAATTGCTCGAGTTCAGCAACACCGGCAAGATTACGAAGATCGGATTCTGAATCACCTTGACCAGGGTCGGCAGACAAACTACGAGATGATGAAGGACTGGAAGTCTTGTTGAATTGAACCTCTGTACCTTTGAACATTTCACCAGTCTCTGTGGTCCCACCATCTTGGTCACCAAGAGTAAATAGGTCATATAGGTCCTTCATAGCAAATGTTTGTCGCTGCTTCGGATCCTTGAGAATTTTGTTTGTAAGAAACTGTTTGAAAATTTGTCGATGGTAGATCTTCTCTTCTATAGTACCAGCAGTCATAAGACGGTAAATAGTGACCTCCTTCTTTTGACCAAGACGCCATGCACGTTCTCGAGCTTGTACGTCGGTGGATGGATTCCAATCAGGATCAAATATGATTACCCGGTTTGCACCAGTGAGATTAACCCCGAGACCTCCAACTTTGGTGGTGAGGAGGAATACATGCATGTCAGGATCATTGTTGAACTGATCGACGAGAGTTTGTCTATCCTTGACTGCTGTACCACCATCCATACGAAGATAGTTGAATCCACCAAGTTTCTTGACGAACTCCTCAAGAATGTCAAGCATCTGAACACCTTGACTGAAGAGTAAAGTCTTGTGTCCATAGCCCTTCCACATTTGCAAGAGTGCCTTTACAACTTGCATTTTCCCAGATTTGTTTCCATTGCCCCATTTGTAATCGGGCTTGGTTTTCAATCGTTTATCTAAAAGATCTGGATGATTGCAGATCTTGCGCAGTATGTCAATGCCATAAAGCGATTGACGACTGCGATTTAGAATTGATTTCATGTCATCAGATGCAAGGAACATTTCATATGCATCTCTTTGAGGTCGCGTAAGCTTGCAGAACAAGACCTGCTCACTCTTCTTTGGCAGATCTGCCGCAACATCAACCTTTAATCGTTGAAGTAAATATGGACTGATCACATCTTTCAAAGTTTCAGCACATTTAGTAGCCGTGAGGACTTGTAGATTGGTGGCATTCGCGTAACCTCCGATTTTGATAGGAACTTCGAATGATTGTCGAAAATTGACCAAAGTACCTAAACGCATAGGAAAGACGAAATCAAACAGTGACCACAGCTCTATTAACCCATTCTGCATGGGAGTACCCGAGAGAATCACACGATTGGGTGTACGTAGTTCTTTGCAGTAGATAGTGACAGCAGTGTTAGGGTTTCGAATCTTATGTCCCTCATCCAGTACAGCGTAATCCCAGTCAACATTGATGAGGGTATCACTATAGGTCTGAAGTCCAGCATATGTGGTAACCAAGACATGGCCATGCTTGACAACACGATCGACAATTTTCTGAGCAAGCTTTTGCGACTTTGGAGCTTTCTTGGTCGTTTGACCGTAAAGAATCTCATCCTCTTCGTCTTCCAATCTGCCTTCATTTCCAACGTTGAGCATGCCGGTACCAGAACTATGCAAAATCGAAACTCTCAAGGCCGGCCACCATCGATGAAACTCATTAACCCATTGTCGAAGGACAGTTGCAGGAGCAACTACAATAACAGGCTTTGTAAGCTTTTTACTGTAATGTAAACCGGCTAAGAAGGATATCATCTGGATGGTCTTGCCAAGACCCATTTCGTCTCCAATGATACCTCCAACTTGTTGATTGTAAAGTTCCGACAACCATTGAACACCAGTCTTTTGATAGTCAAAGAGCGCAGGGAAGATATCACCAGGCAACTTTAGACCGTTTTCAAACTCATGATCAGGTTGTCCTGGACATGGCTTGAACCATTCCTTTTCCAAGGATTTTTCTGCAGCTGCATCCTCCTCATTTTGAGGATTATTTTCTAGATGCTGTCGTCGTGCAGCGCTTCGTTTCTCCACCCATTTTGCAAGGCGTGCTTGATACATATTCTCGTTTCCATCATCAATCCCGATCAAGCTCTGTGCCTCGTCTGTTCGAGCTTTGCCCGGCTTAGACCTCTTCTTAGTCGCAGTACGAGCTGTCATCAAGGCATCATCTTCATCATCTTCATCATCCAATTCCTCATCTTCATCGGCTAAATTTTCAGGGCTAAAAGCATCATCATCTGCTGGAGGTGAACGAGCGGGAGATACATCTGCAAAGGAGCCATTGGCGAGCCTTCTCTTCTTTCGAGGACGAAGACCAAATTCACTCTCAGTTGTACTCAATTTAGTATCTGCGACATCTGCGAACCCTGGTAGACGAAGATTCTGATGTGATCTAGGCTCCGCTTGAACATTTCCTGATTCGTTGTCATCCTTCTCTTCCGCGTCCCTTAGCGCATCAGTAAGTGCCGATTGAACATGATCGGTAGCTGCATCTGAAGTTTGTTGAAATGGGGTGATTTTTCCTGTGCGAATCAGGAATTCTCTTTGGCTTTCATTAGGCATTCGTCTGCTTCCACCAGCAGCGTCAGCTTCGGCATGGTTATCATTGTGCTGATGCCTTTCATCGATTCGCTTTTGTATGTCGGTAATGTCATTCTTGAAAGCAAAAATGTCGGCTTCAATCTTCGAGATCTCATCCATGCACCTTTGGCGCATCAATGGATTGTTCGAGAGATTATTGAGACGGCGTTCTTGGGCATGTTTCTGAGTCTCGAGTTTCTCGATACCATTCCGAACCTTTTCAATGCGCTTCTGGTCCCGCTGATCTTCTTGCTCGATCATTACCAGATTGGCTTGGTTCGTAATGTCTCGTTCGAGGTCATCCTGATTGCGAACCGTTTCAGTCAAACCGGCTAGAGCACTGGCTTCATCTTGAGGTTGCTGCTGGCCAGTCTATTTAGGAATAATGTTAGTATACTTAGGAGTAGATGTTAGAACAGGGGGAAGCCTGGGGGCCTAGAGCACTTTGAATGGATGTCTGAGATAACCTTAAACACTGTGAAGTAGAATTCGTGGAAGGGGGGCATTCTAACATACCAATCTCTCCGATCCAAGACTGTAGTCTTTTGTATCCACATCGTTATCGCTGAGAAGTGCCTCGTCGGCAACAACGGCCGCAGCTTCTTGGATAGTATCAGTGTGTTCTCGGTGAAGTCTAACATTGTGATGAGGTGGAGACATGCTCTCCGATTTGATATGAGTTGAATTATCACGACGATTGTGAGGCTCGGTAGATGGACTCATTTTGGCCATTCATCAACCTAGTGGATGTTGATTGATTCTGGAGAAATGGAAGATTGTTGTAAAAGGAAACCCGTACAATATGAAAGGGAACGTGTATATTAATTTGTGGGCAGGTAGAAGGTTTGAAGAGGGAGGTCGAAGGTGAACACTACTAGGCAGGTACCGTAGGTAATGATGAGAGGCGACTACGGCACCGGGTGAAGTGAATTAATTAAGATACGGAAAACAAACCTTGGATTTGATTAAGGATAGCAAATAGTTTACGGATAGTAAGTTAATGAAGTCGTCCTTCAATGAAGAGAACAAGATGTGAAAATTCGCGGTCTCTCTTCACCATCGATACACTCGATCATTTGTCATGATGGGAAGAGAAAAAAAAGGATTGATATCGGATGCTTCTTCACCGTATGCGTCATTGGATTGATGTAGGTAGGGATTGATTGCTTGTGAAAATTAGGTGGTAATTATTTTAGTCGCGAGGCTAGCCTTACTGGAGTTGAGAGACTGAGGCAAGTGAGGTACGTGTGAGGGGACCACGAGTAGATCTACAGCCTTATTAATAATATCTTAATAATCCAATCCCATCGTACGTGCACTTTTACGTTGTATGTCGAAAATCTAGATCTTTAACAGACGGGTTTCTCTTTCATCTATTTCATTCTCACATAGTAGATGAGCATCTATATAGTATTTTGTAAGTATCTTATTAATTCACTGAATAGGTACAGAGTGTATCCATATATAATGTAATACGGAAAGTGGCTCAGTCAATTATCAATTAAGTTCACCGGTGAACCAAACGTTGGATTGGGATTTCACATGGCTGGTGCTGCTCAGTACATACCTACTACTGGGATAAATTCGATGGAGCACCCATACCCAAATTTGCTTTTGCTTACCTAGTACTTATCTTTGAAACTTTGGGGGGTAATTCTTGGGAGGTGAATGATCAGATCAATAAGAATTCAATGCATTTGATTAACAGATAACGTCATTTGATATGTAGATTAATTTTCCTGCAAAACATCTACCAAATATCAAAATGGATGGATATACGGATGGATGGGTAATGGATGGGAAACCATCGTCGGAGTATATTGAGTATTGAGGATTTAGGATTAAGTGAGTACCTAGGTACCTACTGATGGCACGCAACTCATACCTCCCTAACCGACTAGCTGTTCTGACTTCTCTCGCAATCAAAGAAAGAGGGTGTCACGATCAAGAAGAAAGGGCATTCTTATTGAAGGGATGATCTTGTTTGATTTTAGCTCCTCGCAGTTTGGAATATGCTACAACCACCATTCGATACTTGGGTTTCCAAAGAACAAAGACGACCCGTCCTTCCTTTCAAGAAAATGGGTTGGCATCTCTTTTACTTTGCTTCGAGATTAGACTTCGTATTTGGCTACTAGGGAGGTATGGCTGGACCTTGATTTGCTTGACACATGAATAACAATCATAAACCACCACAGGCATCTGATGATCTCCTTGAAACGCTTTCCAACGGTAATTGAAAAGGTCTATATAGACATGAACGTTACCATGTTATGATAACAATACGTATAGAGAGATTGAAGCCATGAAGCTCTTCCACGGTTATGAGTAGCATACAAAGAATAATACAAAGTAAGACTTACAATAAGAGGTACTGCGTGATTGTCTGCGTCGATTGTCTGCGTAAGCCAATGTCATCCTTCCAAACCATTGGGCATCCATATGGGCAACGTGCATCTATACCAATCCCAATCACATGTACATACTGGTATAAACAAATCATAAATATAGGTACTAGGTCGGTAGGTACTAGGTAGGTACATATATTTCGACCTAGGACCTATCCTGTGTTGAATTCCTGTCTATATGAATGCCATACCATCTATCCCATCCATACCTACCTACATCGTAAACATTCTCTTTATTCCATCCACCCACCCACCCATCCATCCATTCATTCATTGTTTTGGTGCCCAGGAATCTTGCTTTGCTCTAAGGAATAGTAATAATAATTTCATGCTTCCATTGGGCAACTCGTTAATAAAACCGTTCCCAGGTTCGCTACTCTTTTTTAGTTCACAAATTTCCCCCGGCTACGGCTACGAAAAGCAACGAGGGTCCTATCCTATGTGGTGGTGTGTGTGAATCCATCAATTAATTCTAGGACACTTGCTTGCTACATCATTCCCCCCCCCAGTCTCCAAGTGAATTCATCTACTACACTCCACTATCTCCAACTTCCTTTTTATTCACTCACCATGATATATTGAGCAGCATTTGGTACTCCAAAGGCTATTTTTGCCTCTGTATAGAGGTTGAATTGGTTTTATTGCGACGCGTTTCTCTACCCACTGCTTTCTGGTGGCAGACCTTTCGACAACATTGTGCGACATATCATATCTGCGTCCTGAATTATTCCTTCACAAAGGCGACAATTGTGCCCAATACCTTCAGAATTCCCCCACTCAAAATCTCGAGCATCTCCACAGTATCGCCAAAATGGACCAGTGGCAGAATTATTCTGAATCATCAGGTTCAAGAAGGTACAACGGAAACCCCCCACCAGCCCATCCCCAAATGGCTAGAGATTATAACGGGAACCCCCAAACCCAACCTCCAGCAGGTTTTACATACGACCAATATCAAGGAGGTCTAGGATCACATCCTCAATCTCTGGCAACTTGTCCTGCTATTCCTCAGATGACGGATGGAAACGGAGATGTGGCCATGCAAGACTCTGGAGATCAATACAATATGAAATATCCTATGCGCCCTCACCATCAACAACATCTTTCAGGCAACCAAAGGTTATCTCACCAATCGCCGCAAGAACCATCTGCGGCGGCTCAACGTTATTCTCCAATGGAGACTTTATCGCCAACATCCCCATATGGCGCAACGCAACAGCAAAACTCAAATCAATACATGTCACCACCGGGGGCTGGTAGCAGACAATCTCCTTCGAAGAATGCCTCGTATTCTTCACCAAACGCGTACTATCCTAATCGTCAACAATTGCCTCCCATTCAGCCGTATGCTTCGAATTCTAACAATGAATCATACCCAACTTCCGCGACCCAACAGCTGAATGCCATGTTTGGTAATGATCAAAAGTCTCCTCGGCGGCCAGTACCTCAGTCGGCGCAAGGTCCACCTGGAAGAGGACCAGTTCCTGAATTTACCAAGATTCGTTCTACTTCTGATTTGCAACCAAAGGTTAATGCGCAACCGGCGTTTCGCAGGGCTAATCCAGAGGGCGGGTTCATAAGTGTAAGCTCCATTAATATGCGCAATACGATTGAAAATTGTGCTAAATAGTCCCCATTACAGCCCCTTCAAGCTCTCACGAGCCATCTCCCTTCTACCTATCGGATATGCAATCCCAGCTTCAAGTACGAATCCTCGCGGAATCCCCGCAGAGTGCTCACGAAACCAAGCAAAGGTGTCAAGAATGATGGATTCGATAACGAAGATAGCGACTATATACTTTATGTGAATGACATTCTCGGATCTGAGGAAACTACTCATAAGTATGTTTCGAGGTTGATATTAACTCTAGATTCCGAGGAATCCTCCTGCTAACACATTTCGCAGAAACCGCTATCTCATACTTGATGTTCTTGGTCAAGGAACCTTTGGACAAGTTGTCAAGTGTCAGAACCTCAAGACTCAGGAAGTTGTTGCTGTAAAGGTGGTGAAGAATAGAACTGCATACTTTAACCAAAGTATGATGGAGGTTTCCGTTCTAGACTTGGTAAGTTCTCGCCATGAAACTGTATCCCTCATTCACTGACTTCCATCTTTTTATTCTAGCTCAACACAAAGCTTGATAAGAACGATGATCACCATCTACTGCGGCTCAAAGACACATTCATTCATCGTCAACATCTCTGTCTTGTTTTCGAATTACTCAGTGTGAATTTGTATGAATTGATCAAGCAGAATCAGTTCCGAGGCTTGAGCACCACACTTGTGCGAGTTTTTGCCCAACAACTTTTGAACGGTTTGAGCTTGCTGAACAAAGCGCGACTCATTCATTGCGATTTGAAGCCGGAAAACATTTTGCTCAAGAACCTCGAAAGTCCCATCATCAAGATCATCGATTTTGGATCAGCCTGTGATGAACGTCAAACAGTATACACATACATCCAGTCGAGGTTTTACAGATCCCCCGAGGTATTACTTGGCTTGCCATATTCATCAGCTATCGATATGTGGTCATTAGGCTGTATTGTTGTTGAATTGTTCTTGGGTCTCCCTCTGTTTCCAGGATCCTCCGAATACAATCAAGTTTCCCGAATAGTGGAGATGTTGGGAAACCCACCAAACTGGATGCTTGAGATGGGAAAGCAATCCGGAGACTTCTTCGAGAAGAGGCACGATGTAGATGATTATGGCAGAAGAACATACCATCTCAAATCTATGGAGCAGTATTCTCGCGAGCATGGATCAAAGGAGCAACCAAGTAAAAAATACTTCCAAGCTACCACCCTCCCGGAGATTATTCGTTCTTATGCGATGCCACGGAAGAATATGAAGCCAAACGAAATAGAGCGAGGTAAGATAAAGCCCAGTACTTCTTGTGAACCTTTGGCTAACAACTGTATCGTAGAAATGAACAACAGAGTTGCTTTCATCGACTTTGTACGTGGTTTACTCAACATCAATCCTTTGGAGCGCTGGTCTCCACAACAGGCCAAGCTACATCCATTCATCACTCAACAAAAGTTCACCGGTCCATTCGTTCCACCAATGAATCTCAAGTCGAGTGCTATAAATAGATCTCCTGCCCCCGGAACGACACAGCAGCAGCAGGCTGAAGCATTGAGTAAGCAGCGAGCCCAGGCAGCTCAAGCTCAAGCCCATTCCCAGGCTCAGTCTGCAGCTCATGCTTCATACAATACCGGTGTCCCGGTTAATTCATATGGCCAAGTGCCACCAAACCAACAGCACCCGCCGATGTACAACAATAACAACATGTACACTCCAAACTCCAACCATCAGGCTCCTCACCAGGCTCCTCATCAAGCACCTCATCAGGCTCCTCACCAAGCCGCCCCACCTCCATACCCCACGCAACAAGGGTATAACCAAATGGGAATGATGGGGCAACCACCAACACAGATGCCACCAGCGCAATATGGAGCTGGTCCTTCACAGCAACAGCCAAGTCTCTATCAGCAGGCTACTGTGAGGTCTGGAAGGCAACGTGCTTCGACAATGGAAGTTCAACAGGGAGGTATTCCTGTGACGATACAAAGAGTTGCTAGTCATCTTGACCCTAGTCAACCTATTCGTTTACAGCCAAGTCCTGCGTATTATCCACCTCCACCTGATGGAGTTCCTGATGGAAATCCTGGTAGTGCGCGAAGAAGGGGGAGCAGAGCTGCTCAGGGTGGACAAGCACCTACCAGAAATCGAGATTTTATCCGAAATCTAGAAGATCGAACATTGGAGGAAGGATTCATGGGACAGAGCCAATGGCACTGAGCTCCACGACCTTAAAATTTGTAGGACGAGTAGAATGATCGAGGACCAGCGACAGCGAATCACGCTAAACTTATAATCTAGAAATGCCAACTGCAGTTTGGAAGCTAGTGTTCATATTATTCTTCGCGCATTATATGATGGGCGTGTGTTGTCATAGGGATCGGGAAAAATTTGAATCATGATACCCAACGGCGGGGCCTTTCTACGAATATCACTCTAGGGCGGAGACTATAGGTTGCTACGTAGTGATGAGTTCTGCAACGAGATGAGAAGGGCATAATTGGAATGAAGGGATGAAATTATAGGGAAATGAACTAGCGAGGATGCTTTAAAACGTCTTCGGAAATTATTAGGGGAGGGAGAATGTGCGCGGTCTTTTGCTAGTATGAGAGTTGCACTTCAGAATTCGATTCATGTAAGCTATTAGTTATTGCATGGATGGATGGATTCAATCAGTTAAAGATGAGACAGAGCTAGGTGAAAATGCAATGGGGAGAATATAAAAGAGCGCAATACGCCGGGGTTTCTCAGTTTGATGGCTCTGGAAATGTGCTTGTGATGGATGTAATCTCCTCTGGATGTGTTCACGGGTGCTAACGATGAACGACTGGACACTAGTGTGTTTTGGTCTTTGACTAATGGCTGGGTTGAATCTACACTCATACTCCCGCAAGATGGGGAGGGTAACATTACACAACTCAAACTTCAATTCATCAGTCAATTAATAAGCCTTGAACAGTGTCGCTGAGATATGTTCTGATTGAGCTCTAGACACGTGGGTGCTAGTTACGCTGTGTATGTACAAAATATACAAATTCTATCCTTTCACCAACTCCCCTTTAAATCCTCAATCTATCGCTCGACCCAACACCAACATCAAGCATCTTTGATAATCTACATACCCCAAACTCTCAACCCCAGTCCCCGAACCCATACATAATCCACAACCTCCTAATCCACCAATTCCCCCACCACCTTCAAAATCTCCATCTCTCCCGCTTCCTTGCGTTCCTCCTCCCACTTTCCATAAGCATCCCACCACCACCCATGCGTTACCCCATCATTCCCCTTATACCCCGCTACCCCATCTGCACCCACGCGTTTTGACCACGGCTTATCAACAATATAATGCAAGGCTCGCACCTCCTCATCGCGCCACATCTCTGGATGCCAATACCGCCATGTTTTCAGCGCATTCCATTTCCACCCCACGCTCACCCATCGATCGCGCCACCACTCGGTAATGAAATCTTGATCGGGAAATTGATAGCTCGAAAGCTCAGTTTGATGCGTGTCGATAAATTTCCACATATCATCCCAAGTTTCCTTGCTGGGCGCAAAAATAAATACTCCCGAATTGAGAAGCGTATGTGTTTGCGGCCCGCTGGATCCAGATGGCACCGGTGGGTTGTGTTCGACGGGGTTGGGGCTGGGGGTTACATAGGCGCAGTTCTCGCGCGTCCAGGACTCCGGGGCCCAGGTGTCATTTTCGAGATTGCACACGCAGACGTGGTTGGCGGCGAGGAGTTTGCCGGCTTCGCCGGGGATCGAGGGGTTGCGGAGCGGATGTTTGAAGAGGAGTTCGTCCATAGGACCGAAGATGAGAATGTCGGCGTCGAGGAAACAGATCCGTTCGTAGGGGTAGGTGTACAGGGAGAAGACTTGCAGTTTGGTCCAGGTGGAGGCGAAGCGGGCGGCGACGCCCGAGTTGGCGCTGAGGTTGAGGAGGGGGGTCGGGTGGAGGATTATATTGGAGCGGAGGGCTTCGCGCTCGAGAGCCGGGAGGTAGTCTGCGGGGAGGTTGGCGTACATGAGGACGAGCGGGAATTGGGAACCGTGTTTTTTGAGAGTGTGTGCGAGGAGGATGGCGCCGGGGAGATAGGAGGGCGAGGTGATCAGCGTGGCGTAGGCGGCGGTGGGGTCGTTGGGGGGTGTGGTGGTGGTGGAGGGGAAGTGTGCGGAGGTGGGGGATACAGTGGCGGAGCTGGGGGTGGACATTTTTGGGGATTGGCTGGATTTAGAGAGGGGTGGGTAATAGGTAGTAGGTAGGTAGGTTAATGAAGATTCAAACTACTATTTGCTAAAAGAAAAATACTTGTTGTCTGTGTAGCAATACTGATCAGGTACCGAGAAGTAGGTAGGTAGATATCAAAACCAAACGGTAAACATGAATAACATCTCAATAGAAGAACAAGAAAAATACTAGAGTAAATACTTAGGCACTTCTTATACTCGAAATTCGAGAGTCGTCCCTGCCGCGTTTTCTCATCGCCACTGTATACACGGCAGGAATGAATGATCTAATGGGAATGGGAATGATCTAATGTTAATGTTAACAGGGAGGGACATGTTGGTTAAGGTATTGGTAAGGAACTACTAGGTACGAGTACATAGGTAGGTAGGTAGGTAGGTAGGTAGGTAGGTAGGTAGGTAGGTAGGTAGGTAGGTAGGTAGGTAGGTAGGTAGGTAGGTATGTAGGCGAGAAAAATCTAGACGTCATGGAATTGAAATTGGATGAAAGGCGTGGGTAGCGAGTGAATGGATGGATGGATGGATGGATGGATAAATAAATGTCTTTGTATAGGTACCTATGTAGTAGGTAGGTAGGTGCTTAGATGTTGTGAAAGGAAAGAGGAAATTTTGGGGGTTGGAGGATTTATCTGCTTTTTGATGTTATATCGGTATCTTGTTTGTATGTATGTATGTATGTATGTATGTATGTATGTATGTATGTATGTATGTATGAGTACAGAAGATAGATGTATTAAATAATCTTCACTTCATCATCACCCAAATATCTACAATACACCAGTACACCAGTACAATGAGTATCAAGTACTGTAGATACAAATCCCAACACAAATCCCAATTCCAAATACTGAGAAAGAAAGAAAGAAAGAAAAAATCCAAGTCCCATAACCTTAGCCAGCCCGCCCGTCCCCATATGGAAATCCAAGTGGCCAATTCGAATCCGGGTCTGGATTTCTCTAGGGATTATTTTTATTTTTATTTTTATTCTCCTATGTAGGTACTGGAGTGCGGAACGAATCCATGCGAACGAGCGAGCCCATGGGAGCTTGGCATGGCATGGGAAAGTTTATTCCTCGGCTAGATCGTTCCCTAGATCTTATCTTATCTTACGATGATGGGATGGTATCTACGAATCAATTGGATTAATTATCAAAAGCTCGGAGGATTCGCATTTCTTCGGCATGAGGATACCGGTGGTCCACCGGGTGGTCAGCAAGCGAGGCAAGAAATGGTCAGCAATTAAATTGGATGCAGTGGAATGGTCAGCAATTTGAAATCACCCCCTCCCCCCCTCCCTCCAATCCGCATCCTGGGGCAGGGCAGGTGGAATTTTATCGCGACATGAATATTTTCCAACTTTTCCTGTTTCTTCTTCATAATGTATAAATCTAAATCTCATCTAATAAAAGTGACAAGTGTAAATGCGTCGTGTGTTTCCTTTTCCTCTTCGCTCCTGGCTTCTCTTTACCACCCTGAGATTGGACGCTGTAGTTCCGGTTCCCAGTACCATTTCTACGTGTGCTAGTTCGGTCAGATCTTTATCGACATCTTTATCTGCGGGTTTTGGTTTTGATCCCGCGGCGAGAAATATAAATTGGACGGCGCTGGTGAAGGGAAATTACATCGCGTGGAATACTCATAATCGTATACCCATTCCTCAATTTACGCAAGCTCGAAGCGCAAAGATGTCGACGTCGAGTAAGGATGTAGAAGAGGTGATTGATAGGGCGACGGAGCCGGTAAGTAGGCAAGAGGAGATATTGGGAGAGAATGAGGGGAGGGGAGAGGCATTGAAGGAAATTGAAAAGGAAGAGGAAAAAATAGAAAAGAAAGAAGAGAAGAAAGAAGAAGCGCTCCCGAAATTAAGCGCTGCGGATTTCAAAATCTATAATTCCATGGCGGAACATATGAATTACTTTGTACGTTTACTTCTTCCTCACTCATCCAATTCAACGCAACTAACTCACCCCCAGCACAACCACTTCCGCCAAACCTGGACGCTCCTCAAAACCGCCACGACCACCAACCAACGACCGCGCAATCTCTCTCTGCGGCAATTCCTACAAACCGGACTTTCCTTTCTCTCCCAACTCGAGGTTCACCATGGCATCGAGGAGCAACACATCTTTCCGGTTCTGGCGCGCAAGATGCCGGAATTTGCGAATGGGAAGAATGCGGCGGAGTTGTTGAGACAGCATCGGGAAATTCACAAGGGGATGGATGTCATGCAGGAGTATTTGGAGAAGTGTAGGGATGGAGAGGTGGAGTTGAGTTTGAGGGTGCTGGGGGAGAAGATGGATGGGTTTGGGGAGGTGTTGTGGAAGCATTTGGATCAGGAGGTGGAGACTTTGGGGGCGGAGAATATGAGGAGGTATTGGTCGAGGGAGGAGATGAGGAGGATGCCGATGTAGGGGAGGGGTGGGAAGTTGTATGGGGTTTAGCGAGGATGGGAAAGAGGGGGGAGGAGCTAACTTTAATTTAATGGGAGAGGAAATATCGTGAGGATCTCCTGAAATTTGCTAGCCTGAAGAATTTTATTATACAGAGAAAGTATAAATAGAACCATTGAACATCTAATTTCCATAGAATAGCCAGAGCAGTGTAGTCCATACACTCGTCCGCCTCATAGAACCGAGCATTCGATACAAGCCCGTACCATATAAAACGGGATGTATCATACACCCACTTTCCCCATACTCGAGTAATGTTCGAGAGCAAGGCTTTTGTTCATGGGTGAAATTATTGGTGCGTGTTTACTCCCAGCATCGAAAATGAGGCTTGCGATGTGCATGATTCAGCGGCTGACTTTGTACACCCCGGGATTGTTGTGCTCAAAATGTATACACACTGTCGCGTTGGCACTCAACACCAAACTCTACGCACCTTTCTCTACGTAAAATCTTTTGCTGAGTTAATGGAATCATTAATGGAGGTGCGGCGTATTCTTCACTACCTACGTGGCATTACGTTCCGCTGCCCTAAAGATAGGGCACTTGTTGCGCCTCGTACATGTCAAGTCCCAGCGAGGCTTGCGACGTTGATGAGTTTAGAATTTTTATATGTAAGTCGAGTGTGATACCTACATTTTCTCATTTTTCGATTACATGTTTAGATTGCTTTTTCTTGTATTTTTTTTTTTCACAATCTTGTTTTAACATCACGTCGACAACTCCGACTCTATGGACAACATCAATGTGTAAGTCACCAGATGACTTTTTTTGCTTGACATGCACGACATATCTTTCTGGGGAACCGGAGAAGCTTTTTCGGAAGCTACACATCAACCATTGCGACATTTCCATGCAGCGGATTGCCGGAAGGATTTTTCCAGTGGTTATTGTACCAGTTTCCTGTCCTTATGGCGGGATTCCCAAAGGACTTTCCACAGAGGACTTCCCATGGATTTTCAACTATATTCCCAAGCTTTCCCAAAGCGAGGACAGGATTTCTTGAGTGATCTTCGTGATAGAAGAAACTCAAGAAATCCCGAAATTCCAGGACTTTTTATAAAACTTTCAATTGATTTTGAAGTTTTCTCAAAATGAGAGTAAGATTTCTTGAGTATGCTTCGTGACAGAAGAAACTCAAGATATACTGAAATTCCAGGACTGTCCACGAGGATTTATCTACGTACTATAGAATGGACACACGTATCCACTATGTACTTATTGCTACCGGAAACCGAGAATTTTCTGTTGCTCCATTATGCCATCAAGACTAGTCAGACCACATGCTAAGATTTGGTTATTGTGCAGACCGTCATGGGACCCGGGTGATGAATTTGGTGATAATTATTATTTCCTTAATACATCCAACTTCTTTAATAAATCACCGTACTTAAAATTATATGCTTGCAAAGATTTATTGCCATTTGATAACTTCCCGTTCACGCTGTTGGGACTTGACCGGTGTGGCACCACTTTCAACTATGAACCTTCGGACGCCTGGAACGCGACTCAACAAGTCTCGGATCCCTTCCATACCACGCAGCAACTGCCTCTAGAACGGTACAGAAACTCCTCATTCCAATGTCCATGTGCCAATGGGCAATCCAGGTCCTAGGATCAAAGATTGTATGCACTATTGATGGACAAAGACTGACACATAACAGAGCCAACAGTGTCCCAGTTACCTAAGTGAGCCTCCCATCTTTGTCTCAAGATAGTATAAATAACCAAACAATCGAGAGACCAATTACCCAAGCGTAAGTCACGTCTTCTCATCTTCTGTTGAGTATTTACTAAGTCATTAGAAGGCAAAACACAGAGGACGAAGAGCGCCCTCACAGGTGCACGGTACGAGGCTGTAACGTCCGCGGCTTCAAAAAGCAAGCGGATCTCCGGCGTCACCAAGGTATCCATGGAAATCCTTTATTCTTTTGTCCCGTGACAACCTGCAAATCTCACACCAAGGGATTCAAACGCAAAGACAACCTTACGGAGCATCGGAAACGAGTCCACGATGCAATTGCACGCGCTTCCGCGGTTCCTGGCCGATGATCAAAACAGGCTTCACGAGCCGTATTAAGCGAAGACGAAGAAATGGAAGACTCGATCTCGGTGCAGGTGCCGAAGAGTATGCAAAATGGTTCTATGGTCGATTCACCGGCTAAATCGTTTCTCCTGGCAAAGCTCGTGGAGTTACGCACCTCACGAGAAAGATTTATTTTGGAGAGAGACGGAGAGATCAAGGCAGTTGAGACGACTTTGTCTTTGATGTAACCTATTCACATTAGCTGCAGCCAATGCATTTCTTTGTGATTTGGGTTTATAGCTTGGCTTTCTGGGTGTTGGGTCAGATGTTAATGATGATCTGTTGGGAAAAGGACATTGGGGAATTTCTTTGGACAGATTTCTTGCTGTTTTGGTTGTACTGGTTGGTTCTTGGAAGGTTGAAAAGGCTTCTTTATTCTGCTTGAGTTCTTGGTGGGTTGGAGTATGGTTACGGACGGGAAAGATTCCAATTTATTCTTTTAATAGTCGAAAGTTGAGTTCTCTGTGTTCGACTAATATCACACTCAATTTGCCGTTCCTCCCAATAAATGTGTTGTCTGAATATTCAACTAACTTGACATCTGAATTTTTGATAATCATATATTTGAATGTCCGAGTCTAAACTGGATGTGGAACTGCCATGCCTGAGATTGAAGAACATCTGGAGAATGATCTATTGTTCTGGGAGTCTGCATGCTATATACACATGATAATTTATTTCGCTTATTAAGTCACAAGAAGAAGATCCCTCTAAATCTTGACCTCCATGCAGCCACTCGGCAAGTCAAAGTTAAGAATAATGGTAAAAAATCATATTCACAGACCTCGGCGTAAACTCCAATATACACAGTGACATGTCTTAAATCATAATGTGTTTTTCCTGATATATAGTGTCCTTATTCACTTTCCCATGCACCCAATGCATATTATACACACTCGATTTCCCATTCAATAGTGCTCCTCTCCTCCAATTTTAATCATCATATATCCATTCCCTCTGCAGATCCTCAACTCTTAGCCTCTTCAACCTTCTTCTTCGCCCATCCCTCATCCGGCATCAAGTCCCTCCTTACTCCCTCAAACCTAATCAAATTTTCCTTATACGGATGCGCCGCGCCCTCAAACGCCTTCAATCGTCCCAATCTCCCATCCCGCAACCGATTCTTCGGTAACATTCCACTAACCGCCTTCCTCAGAACTTCTGCACCTCCAAACTTCTCCATCAACCCCTCCATACTGATTTCCTTCAAACTACCAGGTCGTGTATTGTGACGATAATATTTCTTCTGATACATTTTTTTGCCCGTAGTGTGGAGATTCGCGCAATTGGTAACCACGACATAGTCGCCGCAATCGGTGGAGGGATCCCAGATTGGCTTGTGTTTTCCCATGAGGAGGAGTGCGATGCGGGAGGCGAGACGCCCGAGGGGTGGTGGTGTGATGCGGGCTGGGACAGAGGGGGGTGAGGAGGGTTTGGACGGGGTTCGAAGGGTGGAGAGAGGAATGTGCGGGGCGCTGGCAGAGATGTGGTGCCAGGTGCGGGAGTAGGCTAGTTTTGTCTGAGAGTGTGTTAGTTCATGTATGCAGTTTGTTCTGGGACTTATTCATGTATATCGACGACTTCAATTGTGCAAGCTAGATGAGTACTAAAGGAAGAGGTTGAGAACTTACAAATCCATTTGTTTGCGACATCTTGGGATATGATTGGCACAATAACCAATGCTAAATACGATGCGCGAGGAGAAAAGAATTGGCAGCTAAAAGATTCCCTCGTTGTCGTCGTCAAATTCAAGCCTTGAAGTCAATCGTGATTCTAGATGCCAAGACATTTTTTCTCGAATGGCTTTATATGGATCTTGATTGGCTAGATCTTTTGGCGAGGCTTCCGAGGCTGGATTTCAAAGCATTCATTGTTGCCCCACGTATGATGGAGATGTTGTATTTTGAACTTCATTCATATTGAATCTTCTCTTATTTATTGTTCTATCACACACAGAAGATCTGAGCAAGAGTTCTCAAAAATCCAAACTCCTCAAAATGGCCATCACAACTCCCTTCCAGGTAGTTCCCCTCGATTCCGATCACGTGCATCGCGCCAAATCGAAATATCACTAATGGAGAATAGACACAATTTGCAGTACCTATGACATGTGAAGCATGTATAAAAGACATCGAAGGATCTTTATTCAAACTAGGTGGAATACAGAAAGTTGAAGCAAATCTAAAGGATCAACTTGTTACTATTGAAGGAACAAGTAAGTTTGTAATTTACCCCGCCAAGAAAATGGGGAGGATTTGGGAGATAGGGATACGTTACTGATGTGAAAATAGCTGCGCCTTCGGAAATCGTTAAGGCGATTGAGGAGACGGGGCGAGATGCAATTTTGAGGGGTTCCGGGGGGAGTGATGGTATGTTTTGTTTTTTACGTTGTGTTTGAGTAGGAGTTTGGGTTCAATTTCATTTCATGGTTGATGTGTTGAGGTCCTTGTCTGAGATGTGTATAGGTGCGGCTGTCTGTATTTCTTGAGACACATGATACTACTGTATCGGACAAAGTACGAGGATTAGTGAGGATGGTGCAGGTATCCCCTACATTAACGTTGGTGGATTTGACTATTCGAGGATTGCAAGAGGGAACATATTGGGCTACTGTTAGAGAAGCGGGGGATATTTCCAACGGGGCAATCTCTACGGCAGGTCTATGGAAGGGAGGTAATGAAGACACACCGAGGGGTACGTTTGGTACCGTGAGTGTGGGGAAGAATGGAATGGGAAGTGTGTTTTTGGACAAGCCAATCCAGATATGGAAATGATTGGAGGGAATGGTAGTATCGAAACAACATGAGGGAGATAGGAAGTTTGAGAAGAACGATGAGAATACTCTCGTGGGGGTAATTGCACGGAGTGCTGGTGTATGGGATAATGACAAGACAGTTTGTTCTTGCTCGGGCAAGACATTGTGGGAGGAAAGGAAAGATGAGGTCAGCAAAGGTATGCTCTGATCATATATCAGATGATCACACAAGAAATGGAACGATAGCATGATATGATAAGTACGCCCAAGAAGCTTATTCTCTGCCACCCGCGCTTTTTACATACCTATACGTGCTTTCCGTCTGAGAACGAGCCGTGGCTGATTAGAGAATTGCAAAGAAGCAATTCAGAGGAAGAAAGCAGGGAATGTTCAAGTGTTCGATCAGGCTACCAGGGATTACATCAAACCTTAAGGATGAGTGTTATGAAGAGTAAGCTTCTCTTGTCAAACGTTAAACCCGAATGCGTTTCAAATCTGTCATATACCGGGCAATGACTCCACTTTTAATACCGTCAAGATTGCTTTTATATGGCGACCCTTATCAGCGATATCTAATCTCTCAATCGTAGCCCTACCCTGGACCATCATCTATATTGATCTCATTATTCTTCACGGACCAAAAGGCTGGATGCGACAGAGAAAGCTGCATGCAACCTTAATTTTACATCTGTGTTTGAACTATCGTAGAATGTGCCGTACTTTTTCATAGTGTCGGCTATTGCATATCTCTTGGGTGATATTCGTTCTGCTTGATTTGTCCACCTATTAGACTGCCGTTAAAGTTGAGACGAAAGGAAAAATGTTTTCTTCTTCCAAGCTGGGCAGCATCATGCAAACGGATTCAATCACGATGACGACCAGTTTTTGTGATCTGGCATCTTTGTTTTCGAGTTTGTTCTTCTCCCGCGTGGCCGTTTAGAACTTTAGATGTGCCCTAAATTCTCAAACAAGGTGAGGAAGGTGAGGTGGAAGCGAGTTTCGTCCAATCGAGGTGTCTTCCCCTGAGACGCCAAGCTTCCTGCGCTTCAATTCCATGCTTATCCGATATCCGATAAGATGCCGGCTAGGATATTCGGCGGTTATCTTTTGAGGATTTGCCCTACGGTTATGTGCGTGGCCGTTTGTGATCTGTTCGGAGGTTACTTTCGGGGTCGATTACTGTATTGGTCTGGGCCCAGCAGGCGAGGTACTTCTTTTGTCTTTTGGAAGTTGGTATGAATTGCATGGCATGGATGAGTATATGTATAGCATGCGTTCTCATTGCCAAATCGATAGTTTGCAATGGTAAGTTCTCGGTCAAGACAAAAATAACTTTGCATATCGAACTCTTCCAATTGCATGACATAACAAGCCCGTGGATCTGAAGTTATTCATAGTTCTAAGATATCACAAGACCTTAACCTATAAATAATGTCGAATTAAATTTATACTCAGGTACCAACAACATAAACTATTGAATCAATCCCGCTGCAAGCAAGACTATCACAGTCACCGGTGACATTCTATTCTATGTGAGTTCATGATCTCCAACTCAAGTCTACCAAGTCAAGAAACTCGACTAATCCAGACTTTACATACTGAACCATTAAAAAGAAAAAGAGATATCGTGGACATTTGAAAAGCCAAAAGAAATGCACGGACAAGAAAATACGTTGGAATACGCGCCGATGGAACAAAAAGTGACAGAAAGCGTAACTCTTGACCATCCAATCGGCATGGTATAGGGGATCTTGGAACACTTGCTGCTTTGAACCAGCCTTAAGCGAACAGAATCCAAGTTTCGCAAGCTCCAAATGTGTGGCCACCAACTTTTCATATTTACCAATCATTTTCATTATTTTGGAGAATAAAAGTAATTTTGCTGGTGGCTTGGGCGATTAATCACGATGCTTTTGTATGAAAAGCGTCTCGATTGTGGTTTACGCTTTCCGTTCATTTCCAACATCGAGTGCGGCTTTTCGAAGTAGATGGACAGTACGGGTATACACATATTGCGAAATATGTCAGAACACCGGAACGTAAGGGCAAGACAAAACGAGGTTATTACATACTGTTGCGAAAGTAGTCCGATAGATGAATGGTAAGATGGTTACTCGAGTAGATGTTGAAGCAGCGATTGACAAGGGGGATTTAAGAAATGGTTTGGAATATGTAACCCATTGCCCAAGGACTAAAACCAACGCAAGGATATAATGACAAGGGCAAGAATACTTTCGTAAAATAGAAGAATCTATTTCCAAAATTCATGTACTGCCCTGTGTTCCATATGTGAATAGAGGTATGTTTGTACGTATGTATATGTATTTCATATCAACGCCCCTTGAGCCACTGCTATATTTGAACCTCCATCTCTGTATATAATATGGATAATATGACCATCCGCATGCATGAAACTCCCATGTTCGATCTACTTGGGTAGTCAATACTTCTTCCTACAAATCTCCTCCGTACTAGTCGTAGCCCCGTTCGACACGATACGTCGATTAGTTGCCGTGGATCGTGTCGGGGTTAGAACTTAGCAGGGACCATTTTCGACTAGGGAACCCCTCTCCATCCACATTTTAGTATCACTGCACCATCGACTTGCATCGAGAGACTAATCAATCCACGTACCAAGAAATTCAAACCTCGTCTCCTCGTCTAACTCTCCATTTTCAATCTTCCATATCCAAAAGAACTTCTAGGGCGCTACCCGTACATTGAAACTTCTACTATTATCCACTCATCCTCCTCCGTTCGTTGTAAGAGCGCTGCTAGCCAGCCATCGTACCTTACATTTCCAACCCAATTCGTTCTGCTTCGTGCATACACCCACACTCCCTTGTCTTTGAACTTTTCCACTTTATCCGTATCTTTTTGCTGTTCTATTTTCGAGTATTCACATTTGAACATCAAGCTGTCAATCTTTCAACCTTTCTACAATTCATTCATCACGAGAACGGAAGATATCGAAGTCAAATCAAGTCAAGTCTACACGTTCCTTCGAGGTGCCGAATCGTTATTCCCCACCAGCCCACCACTACTTTACGATCAGCAATCAACACTAATTAATAGCGACGGGAGGAGCCCGAAAGCCAAATCCTACGAAAAGTACAAGGACTCGCATACGATCCTTTGAATTTATATACTTTAGAACATAATCTCAACCAAAATACAGTTACTCGACAATAAGACACTCCCATCGCTGGACGGATTCGAGAATATTTAATACACACACTAGTTGCATCAAAGAGAAGGGACGTACGGAAGAAAAAAAGATACCGACAATTCGAGATAGCTTCGCACAACATACGAGTATTGCAACACGACATAGAATTTCCTTACACCGCTTGATAGCTGGTCGCTCACGAAGGCGACCAGCCAGCTACGAAAGAATATCTCACGAATACATAATTTTTGAGGGAGAAAAGGCATCATGTCTTTGAAACAGGTTAGTGGATGGAAGGAAGAAAGATGAGGATTAGAGAAGGTCACTTCGGTACTGACTACTTGCGCAGGAAATCGAGACGTGGGTCTCTGCCCTTGGTCGTTACGATAATAATGAATTTGATGAAGCATTGAAGGAGTTTGATGGCATTGCAGACACTTCAAAGATTCTCTTCAATTGTGGTGTTATTCATGCGACATTGGGGGAACATGAGAAAGCGGTTAGTACTTCTCATTCCTGGTGACGAACTCAATTATACTGGCAGAATCTAATTCACTACAGGTCGAATGTTATCAAAAAGCCGTTCGTCTGGATCAATACCTAGCCGTAGCATATTTTCAACAAGGTGTCTCGAATTTCTTGGTTGGCGATTTCGAGGAGGCTTTGGCCAATTTCAATGATACTTTACTGTACCTGAGGGGAAACAACATGATTGACTATGCTCAACTTGGTCTTCTTTTCAAACTATATTCGTGCGAAGTGTTATTCAACCGGGGGTTGTGCTACATATATCTACAACAGAAGGAAGCAGGACTGCAAGATTTCTCCTTCGCTGTGAAAGAGAAGGTTGTTGAGGATCACAATGTCATTGATGAGGCAATTCGCGACGAAGCCGAGGTATGCTTGTCATTCGGAGTTTCATGTTGAGTGTTTACTAATACTCTCATAGGGTTATACCGTTTTCTCGATTCCCGTAGGAGTGGTTTACAGGCCCAATCAAGCGAAAGTCAAGAACTTGAAGACAAAAGATTATCTAGGCAAAGCACGTTTAGTTGCAGCTTCAGACCGTGCTAATGCTTTTACTGGATTTGCTGGTTCAGAGATTAAGAATGTGAGTAATACTCATCGTATACTCCGAACCTGTGACACTAATTGTTTCAGGCTGGTATAATTCAACCCAAGGATGACCGTCCGACGGAGAATCTTTCATATGCGGCGGCGAACCTTGTAAAGCCCGGTTTGGCTAGCAAAAGACAACAATCAGAGCCACCTCTGAACCGAAATGTTTTCCCACCCACACCACCTCCTGAGGCAGAGAAAAGTTCTGGACCTCCACCCATGAGTCGCGGGGCATCTGTTCGAAACGGACCTAAACCCATGCCAGCTAAACTCAACATCGAAAAAGCACGCCCTAATGAAAGTTATGAGATTCGTGAACGTGACGATGCAAGAAGTCCTCCAGATGCGCGACCCGCCAGACGCGGGACTCAAAGAACAGCATCAGAACCAAGGGGGCCATCGCAAATGCAATACTCCAATAAAAGATCCGAATCACGTTCAAGACAACCACCGAGACGAATGCAATCAACGCAAGAAGAAGAAGATGACTACCCGGAGGATCTCTATGATATGTATAGCTCCCCAGGTCGGAGATCGAATAACTCTAGACGCAACACCCGGAATAGATACATCGAAGAAGAAAGTGAATACGCAAGCGACTACGACGAAGGTTCTTTTGACGAAGATGAATTCGAAATGGTCTCTAGTCGTCCGCCTCCTAGATCCCGCACAACATCTTCGATTAATGGTGGTAATGGTCGAGCTGGCTCTCGTCAACCTGATGTACGCAAAGTTCGTGTGAAGGTCCACGCCGAGGATGTACGATATGTTATGATAGGCTCGGCTATCGAGTTCCGCGATTTCCAAGACAAGATAAAGGAAAGTTTTGGGCTGCGTGGATCGATTTAGATCAAGGTTCGTGACGAGGATGTTCCTAATGGCGATATGATTACGATGGGTGATCAGGATGATTTGGATATGGTTTTGATGAGTGTGAATCAAATGCAAAGAGAGAACGATTGGATATGGAAAAATGGAAGTGAGTTTATATTACCTTCCCCTTTTTTACCACGGATATCGCTTACTGACATACAAACTAGTCTGGGTAGTAAAAAGCGTGATGTTCGGACAAGTAAGATAATGATGAATGTTTGACGATTATGTCTTCCTTTTATTTTAATTTTCTCCTGTACCAAAATTTCTACTATTTTTTGGAAGAAGTTTTCGGGAAGAGAAGCGAGATTTTTGTCTACTTAATTTGTTCGCCGATGGAGAAAAACACTTCTTTGATATGATACCAGCAAATATCCACATTAGCGAATATAAATGTATTGTTTGCTTTCTTATATCCTTCTGAATATTGATATTTGATTTACAGCGCTAGAATTGTATAAGCGAGCGCCGAATCCGATGCGAAAAAAGGGACTGTATGTATGTATGTGGATGTATGAGTACATGCATGCCGTTGTAATTTGGGGAGAAGAGAGGAGAAAGAGGGGGGGAGGGACTATCATTAATATATTATGTCTGGGACAAAATTGATATATCTTTCCTTTTCCTTTTCCTTTTTGTGAGTTTGGGTTTGGGGGGTTTTGTGTATTTGAATTTGGATTGTGGCTTTCTCTCCCTTTTGTGTTGTTTTCTTTTTTGTGAAGGGGAGAAGAGGGTTTAGGGGAGGGTGGATGAGATGAGATGAGATGAGATTAAGTGGTTAATGTAAAATGGATGGATGTATGCATGGATAGGGAGAACTCGGATATCGAGGTTTGAATATCCAGCCGGATGGGTGTGTGTGAGAATGACGATTGGATTGCATAGGACTGGGGAAATTGGAAATTGGGATGGGTTATATATATATATATATATATTTACTATGATATTGATTGGTATGAATAATGGATATATCTATGTGTGTGTGTATACTGGACAATATGAAGATTTATATTATATTGATCGATCGATCGTTTGATTGAGTATGAAGACTTAAGTGAGAATGGAAATGGAAAGTATGCGTGGATAGGTGAATAGGTAAAATAATAAGTAAACAGGTAACTTGTGATTAAATCAACATCAGTATTTAAATGCTATCATATATCTATCTATTCAATACAGCTACACTACACCTATCTACCAAACTCAATCAGAAACCCCCCCCCCCCCCCCCCAAAAAAAAAGAAGAAATCAAAGGACAGGACAGGAATTCATAAAATCTCTACCTAATCTCTAACCTCTAAACTCTCATACCCCCTCCCTTCTATGAAATAAGATAAATCTATCTGATACTCGGTAGGTAGGTAGCAAGAAAAGCAATGTCAAAATCAATATCAAAACAGAAGCGAAGAAATCCCAAAGGTTTAGCTCCGTCAAATTTGCGACGATGTGGAATTTCTATGTATTTTAATGATTCCCATTTTCATTGACAGAAAAAGAAAAGGAGAAGCGAAGGGGCCTTGCTTTTTGTATCTGTATGGGGCGAGGTCTTGCGAGTTGGCTGATAGATAGAAATCTAAGGAAGGCTGCTACTGGGGGACGGGGTTGGACATGTAGTGAGATATGAGAAAATTGAGACATGCTAACTATTCGTAAAACATAGGTAGACTGTTGTTTTGTTGTGAGATTAAATCGAGTTGAATTCCATGCTTAAATGGTATCTGCCATGATCTATATACATGGCCCTGAAAATGCGCCTAACGCTCTATACCCGAGATGCCAAAACGCCTTTCCAATATAAAGCAATGGTGAGTGGTGCCATGCAAATTATGCGATCATAAAATCATGATGTACGTCAAATCTATAGCTTTGGTGTGACTGGAGTTCTAGTGACGGTGACATTGATGAGACCGTTTGGTCCAGATTGAGGAGCATAAACTTCTGCGTCCTTTCCGGTGTTCTTAAGACCCTTGTGCCAGCTGAGATCTGGAGAAATGTTAGAACTTTTCTAGTACATTGAAATGCCTCGTTTACTTACCAACTTCGAAATAATGCTTGTTGGGCAAGGAGTAATCCACAGTCTCGACTTCTGGGACGGCCTCCAAATGGAGCCGCCACATCTTGTACATGGTGTTTTGTACAGATGGGCTGTTCTCCTCAGCGAACGTCTTCATGGTGATATTTCTGGCATCATCAAATGCTTTATCGAATTTGGGGATGGCCTCTTTCACAGCGTCCAATCCGGCAAATGTTTTCCATGACCAGCCACAATCAACATCAGTTGACAAAATTCTGTCCCAAACCTCAGGGAGTGTAGTGTACTCGTCTCGGACAAAGCCGTGGAATTGCGAGCCGGTGCTCTTTAAAACCAAGAGCCCAACAATTCCGCTGCGGATATCGATGCCCTTTCCTCTCTTGATAACGGCTTCAACATTTCGTGTTTCACTTCCGTCTCTGTAGAATGAGTGAGGGTGGGGTTTGCCATCGATAGTCATTCGTGTCCATCTGTGAGTAATGATTTTGATGTTGGCTGCGGTGAGATGGGGGTAGGTCTCGATAAAGTGAGTTCCGAGAATACTAGCAAAGAGCTCGGGTGGAGTAACTGGATGTTCCTTGGCTTTGATGTAAACTGTGTTCTTCATGGAATCGGTTGCAACCACAACACTGTTATCGGCCTTGGTATATCTAGGGATTGGTTAGTTCTCGATTGCAGGGGCATTCAGTAGAAGAGGCAACATACGAGACGTCGATAGCACCCTCCAGTAATACACAAACGGTCATTTCAGTGACAGTTTGAGTTCCGGTCTGCTCATCTCTCTCTACTTTATAGACGCGGACATTGTCCTTGCCATATTTTGCTGAAGCTATCGATGCCATGATAAATGTTTAAAATTGGTTTGATGTCTAGAAAGTAAGAAGATGCAATAGAAGATGTTTCGTTAGTGTTCTTGTAGAACGTAACTGAAAGACTTGATAGGTATTAGTATAATGTGAGTGACAACAAGAATGAGGATAGCAGATGAATGAATCGAATGAAGTCAAGGGGACTTTGGTCTCTTTATGGAATTCTGAGTATAGTCGCTAAAGAGTCTTAGCGGCAATGAAGTTAGATATTGTTTCGAGGAGAACGGAGAAGCTCAAGCTACCTGCAGGAGTCCACCGAATAAGATAGCTACGGGATGTTGTATCTTGGCTCCATATGCGAGAAGTTGATTCCAACATCTATCGGAAGGCGCCGAACGCACGAGGCCGACGTGTAGCCTTGTAATGAAACTTAGATAATTGGTCTTGCTTTTACCTAACAACCATCATTTGGGATGAAAAAGTCTTTGCACATTGCGGGTCTCTGGGAGAAAGGCATTCGAAACTTCGGGATATGAGAAATTAAAGCGATATTGATGAATATTTCGTTCGCATGATTTTGTTCTGTCATTACATGAAGTATTGAGGAATGGAAATGCAAGGCTGACCTGACAGAACCAACGGGGTCGTCCGCCATACCTACCTATTCCTATTACCTACTTCGTACTAAAACCACAGGTCTGACAGGTCTGTTCTCTCGTACGATGATTCTTATGTCTCATTGGACCCCACTATGCAACTTGGAAGCTTTGGATGGTTCTAATCTGATGCCGCTTCAATGATGGAAGAAGACTGTGAAGGTCATGTCGAGGGTTTCCAAGGTTGTATACAGAGAGATCAAACAACTCCTTAAAAAGAGCGACAAGGCGGTCGGTCTCTCTTCTTGGAACTATCATGATGAACTGAAGATCTGATAGACAACGGGAACGGGGTTACCATGAGATTCTCTTATCAGACTATTGCCGTTCTGATATAGAGTTACTACTGCAATGTTCATTGATAAAGAAGTCTGATTTCCTGAAGGAGGGTATTTTCGCACATTATCTTGAGGCGTGAAGCACCATTCCGTACAATTCATCCAGTCTGTACGCCTAGCAACCAAGCGTTCCTGATGAACGTTTCAACATTTCGATTATATCTTTCATTTCTAGAGCTGGATCATAACCATCTAGAGTAGGAACGTATCCGGACAATAAATAAGAAGAAGAAATAGATACAAATACCAGTATCCACAAGAGTTTGAAATGTAATGAATGTATCTATCCATCTGTCCATGAACGATTTCCCCATAAAATGAACACCAAAAGCAATTTGTTAGCGATGTCTTCATGGTCCTCTTGGTCTGGTTGGTCTGTGTTGTGATTTTTACACCCCATCATCTATCTATCTGCGGGAATGGGGGCGTTAAAGACCGAATTGATTGATGAAACATTTTAAATATTCTATAAACCTTTCGTCGCAATACAATCCAACAGTTTTTTTAATTTCAGAATTTCCAAAGAAGCTGTTTGATACCTCTATTTCCCCACAATCTTTAGTCAGTTTCTAGTACAGCGACACCTCAAACTTCACTATCTACAAGCTTGGTGCCCATATCGACTGCGGAACCTCCACACATACCACGACAAGCATATATTGTATTGCCCACGAATAGCGTTTAGCTGGACCGAAATCCATTGCACTACAACTGTATCTCCCGTTCTCGCATAGGTACCTGGATGACTTTTGTGTCGGTCCCTTAACTGCACCACCTATGTCACCCCCGCACGAAGAACGTTGACCCCGACCTCTCGAATGGGCAGATGGTTGGACCATCGAGCATTCTGGGTTCGTCTGTGACGACTGCCCAGAAAAACACATACGCACAACAATATGCCGGGAGGACGAGTTTAGATCAACCTGGGGGTCTGCAACCACCAGGTCAAAATGGCTCGCGAATGGCCTCAAGCTCAACAGCCGCATTTGCGCCTCGTGGTTCCTCTCTCGCGCCATCTCCCGCCCCGGGAAGCTTCAGCTCGACAATGCGTAGCCAAATGCCACGGCAAGCTTCGGCTCTCGATACAAATGTTTCCATGGTAAACTTGGAGCGATTGGACGAAGACGATAGTACGACGCCGGTGAAGATATTGTCGAATTTACGCGAAATGCTGAGTAGGGAAATGAAAATAAAAGAGGGCAGTGAGAATATGTTGGAGGCGCTGAATACGAAGAAAGCAAAGCAGACGAAAGAGCAAAGACAAAGGGTGGAAGCGGAGCTGAATATATCCAACCAGAAGATCAGAGATTTGAGATTGAAAATTACGGAAATGCAAAAGCCTAAACCACCCACCACTCCTACGCGCAGTCGAATGGATGCTCTCTTCCAAAGTAATGGTGTGAGGTCACCTCCAAGTGCTTCTAAAAGTATGGGGGGCTCAGAAGCAGCAGATGAGCCTACAGAGTCGCCAACGTATGTCTTAGCTGAAATATTACAAGCTCTAGAGGTGGAAGGTCTCACTCCGGATTACTACGTTGGTCATGCAAACGATCTGGTTGAGCTCTTCAAGCGTCACCCCACCTTGAAGTATGATCTAGTCTGGTCAGTATTTGGCTTGAGAATGCAAGTTATGCTTCTGAGTGGGAGCCGGGAGGTTGTCGCTGCAGGATATCGCATGACAAGATATGCAATTTCGGATGTCAGCTCTTTACAAAAGATTCGCAGCCTAAACACCGATAATCTTGTTGTCGTGTAAGTACTGAATCTGGTAGATATTCATGTCTAATACTAAAGAGTTCTTAGATCACTCATCAAGAAGGGAACTTCTGACGTGGAAAGAGAGCAGGCCTTGAAATTTATCCGAGCATTTCTAGATGTAAAAGACGGCATAAAAGAGGTCTCTAGGGCCGTGGTAAGAACTATAGCTTCAGTTGCAGATCATGAGGAGGATCGACTCAAAGCTATCTGCATAGAGACACTTGCTGAGATCATGGTTCGCGATCCAGGTCTTGTCGTTGCCTCTGGTGGTCTTAGACCTCTTGCCGATGCTCTAGGCGATGGTACTTACGACGCTTCTGAGAGTTTAACAGCAGCGTTTCTGTTTTTGCTTGATTCTCCTCATAGACGGCAGTATTTGCGATCGGGTTATGAGCTAGAAATTCTCTTTACTTCTTTCACCGACTCCCTGTTTGTGAAAGAAGAAATTTTGAAGCAAAACTCAAAGGCCATTTCATATGCTATGAATTCATGGCCTGGTCTTATGACATTGTCTATGTACGACTTCAGAGCTATCAAATCACTGATATCATGCTTGATCCTCCCCAATCCCATTGTACGCGAGACTGTCATAGATATGCTTTATGGAATCTTGCGCATCAAGTCTCCTTTTTGGGCAACCTCTTTCCTCGCTGGCAGGCGTCTCACTACCTATGGAAGAGTTGCAAACCTCAAAACAGCACCGGCAAAGGCATCGGCGCAGTCAGCGACCGATGATGAATCAGGCGACAAAAGTTTCGTCGATCATTACACAGCGCTTCTACTAGCAGTGCTAATAAATGCTGGCATGGTTGAAGGATTGTTGCAGGTGACCTCAGATACTGACAATGCGATGTTAAAGCGAAAAACTACTCTGCTCATTGGAGAAACCTTGAAGCTTGCGAGTCAACTATTGCCATCAAGCTGGAGTGCCGAACTTCAATTACTTCCCGGATTGTTCGCTGCTGCATCTCAATTCGGGAACGATGGACGACTTGTGGCCACTAGCACGGTATATCAAATCAGCAGTGTGAGTCGGACATTGTATAGATCAGCTCCATCCATCTCGACAACTCTTTCGATAAATAATAGTCACGATAACTTGTCAAGCTTGGGAGATCAGCCTAAAAGTAATCCTAACGTCTCGTTTGACGAGACAACATTCAGACAGCTATTGGTTGAATCTCAAGTTTTGGCCAGCACAAATCCTATTAAGTGGAAGTGGGATATTATCTTGCGAATCATCGAGGGCCCGCTCACAAACGGCAAGCGGCTAGATGAAGCTGTGAAAGCCTCAAAGTTCATCAAAAGGATAATGAGTTTCTATCGGCCGTTTAAGTACAAGTTCTCTGAAGTCAGAAACACAAGGATAAATCAAAAATATATCAAGGTCGGTTGTGCACTCATGCACACTCTCCTTCAAACCGTGGAAGGAGTCAAATACTTGGCGGACAACAAGCTACTCAGACAAATTGCAGAATGTCTAGCTCAATGTGACCCGGTAACAACCCCCCCCCCCCCCTCCCTGATTATGATGATTATCTTGTATACTAACACCTAGCAGACGAGTGGCCTCACCGCTTCTCAACCGACATTCTCAAAGGAAAGACTCTCAGAAACTCTTGCATGCGGTTATTTTGCTATGCTCGGAACTTTGACTGGCGATCCAAAAGGGTTGCAAATGCTCGATCGTTGGCGAATGATCAATATGATGTATCACATAATCGATTTGAAGCAACGTCCCGATTTGATTAGGTTGCTCTTATCAAATTTTGACTATAATTTACCGGGACACCCGAGAGTCCTCTTATCTAAGGCTCTGACTGCAGGATCCAAAGAGATTCGTATACATGCGACGAACGTCCTACGTAAATATTCAAGTCGAGCCACAGGGACCACCGACTATAAATGGGCAATCGAGCTTTTAGTCACCCAACTTTACGATCCAGAGGTTGAAGTCTGTGCAACTGCTATCAAGATTCTTGAGGAAGCTTGTAATAGAAAGAGCTATCTCGAATTTATTGTGGAGTGTCGTCCAGCTTTAGACCATTTGGGAGAAATCGGTGCTCCTTTACTACTACGTTTCCTTTCCACGTCAATTGGATATCATTATTTGGACGGACTGGATTATATCAGCAATGAAATGGACGATTGGTTCCTAGGACGAAATGATAGTTATGTCGGAGTTATCGAGGCAAGCTTGGCAAAATCTTTTGTAGAAATGCCCGAAGAATCTTCAAATAGGATGAGTATGGACGAAGATAACTTTGATCTCGAGGGCGAAAACGATGCACAAGTTCCTCCTCACTTCTACAGAGAACTTACTCGTACAAAAGAAGGCTGCAAACTTCTTCAAGATAAAGGGCATTTTGAGGAATTCGCTTGCACTATCCGTGAATATGGTATGCTAGCCGATGATCCAGAACTCATTCTCAAAATCAAAGGATGTCTTTGGGCAGTTGGAAACGTAGGATCCATGGAGCTAGGTGCGCCTTTCTTAGAAGAATCAGATGTCGTCGAACAAATCGTCAAGATTGCTGAAGAACATCAAATCATGAGTCTACGCGGTACCGCATTTTTTGTTTTGGGGCTCATTTCGCGTAGTCGACATGGACTTGAAATTCTCTCTGAACATGGGTGGGATTCAAATACCAGCTCTCTAGGTGTCTCACTCGGCCTCTGCATTCCTCAAAACCTGAACAAATTCTTCTCCTACCAACCTTGGGAACATAAAACCATCTCGGACATAGTAATCACAGATGAAGAAAAAATCGAAATCGATAAAGCGAGAGTAGATGATCGAGACATAAATCAACGTATCCTAGAACTGGTGGAAAATCTAGGAAATATGATATTGCACAAAAAGGCAATCGGGGAGCTGATACAAATCAAGGAGAATCAAGGGGATGCATTTAAACAGGTGGGACTTTTCAAGAAGGTTATGATACTGTTGGAATATCATCATTTCAGATTGCCGATGAGGAGGTTCGTTATTGAACTTTTCGAGAAGAGGGTTCTTAGACGCATTGTGCTGGATGAGGATAGTGATGATGAGGTAGAGATGGGAGTGGGGATGGGAGGAAGGGAAGGAGCGGGGAGGGAGATGGGGGTAAGGGAGATGGAGAGAGTACAAAGAGGTCCAAGACACGAAGAAGATAGTGGGAGTGAAGGCGTAAGGACAGAACGTCAGAGAAGTGTCACGGATATTAGAGTGGTGGGAAATGAAGTAAATAATGCTTCAATATGAGTTGATGTGGTTCAAATCAGTGGATGGCTGCATGGATATATGCATGGATATGTACGATTACAAGAGATCGACAGACACACACAGAGAGAGAGAGAGAGAGAGAGAGAGAGAGAGAGAGAGAGAGAAACGGAGAGATGATGAGTGAGATGTGGTGATGCATCCATCATACACTCTACATCAATTGGCAAAAACCAAGTAGCAAAGAACAAATTTTCTTCACGACGTTCGTTTTCTTTCTCCTCTTTTCTCTTTCCCTTTTCTCTTTCCCTTTTCTCTCTCGCGTAAAAGGGAAATATCGCGCAAAGCGAAAATCCTACTCGCTTCTTTTTCCGCATTTCCGCTTCCGAATATGTATTTTCAAAATTTATCTAGCATAGACATAGGTTGCTTAGGCTACCTACCTACCTATCTAGGTAGGTAGGTAGGTAGTTAATTAGTCAGGGTGGTACGTACGGACGGATAGACGGGCGTGAATTCATCGATTTATCTAATTGGTTGGCTGACAGGCGTAGTTGGCGTGGTTTGGTGTATGGAGTGCGTGGAGCGATTTGGTATTTCTTTTTTGGAGGCAAGGTTTGGTTTGGTTTGGTTTGGTTTGGTTTGCATTTAGGGGGTGGGCCCAAGATGGGGTTTGAGGAGAGTTGAGATTGCATGGATGGGTGGATGGGTGATGGGGTGAATGGATGGATTGATGACATGAATATTTGAATTGTAGGGAAGCAGAAGCAGAAGCAGATGCAGATGCAGAAACAGGAAATAGAAGATGAAGATGAAGATAAGATGTTGGGATTTTGAAAATAAATAAACTGGATTTTTACTTATTTTATGCTGGATTCGATTTGACTGTTTCTGTTTTGTTTATGGCTTGGATGGATGCAGGAAGTGAGTGAGTGGGTGAGTGAGTGAGTGAGTGGGTGAGTGAGTGAGTTGAGTGGGTGAGTGGGTGAGTGAGTGCGTGCGTGAGTGAGTGGGTGAGTGAGTGAGTACCTTTGTCGTCTATAACTTGCGGTGAGGAGATCTAGAGAGCGAGAGAGAGATGGGTAAGGAGGAATTTATAAATGCGTGACATACATGATGTAGTTTCAACCAAGTCTCACACACATAATGTAGATAAAATCCAGAATTGTACAAAGAACTCCATCTGCAGTTGCAGTGCAGCCCAACGATTCAAGCAAACAATCACATTCAAGTCGCCCAAGATCACAGTTCACATCAAGGAGCATAGATAAATTTCATAAATTTCATTCGTTCTGACTAACTGCAGCTGGCTGGCATGATGAAAAAGAAAAGAAGAAAGTTAAAGAACCAATGACGAAGAAAAAAGAGATTATAATTGTACAACAAGGTTTTCCGAGCATCCATCCTGCGTTCCTCCCCACAAGCAGGGACCTCCAATACCCCCTTGACACAAATCCACAGCTTTCACAATAGATTCATCTCCCAGCTCCAGAACAAGACAAGCCCTTCCATGTTCTGTTGCTCTGTATTTCACTCAAGACCAACCGCCACCAGCCAGCCAGACTATCAGAGAAAACCCTCATAATCACTGCGCAACAACCTTGAAGCCCCATGCCTTACTTTGCGGAGATAACATTAGGGTATCAAGTCGTAACAGCGCCAATGCAAATAAAACAAAAACGCAAAAGCTGAAGCGTAACAGTCGTAGACCATCGTATGGATGCATTGAAGCAAGCCGGGTCATCGATCATTAGAGCCACGTAAAGACGAAAAAAAAAATATGGACAGAAGAATAAAAAGCTTTTAGAGGTCGTGATCGGCTACCAACCATATCGCCGTCCAAATCCAACCCCTGCCAGCCAAAGAAATTTGCAGATAAAAAGCATCCCATTTTGTCCCACGCACCAAATACCGGATAATGCATTAGAAAGATGACCGAAAACAAGATCTGATGATAACGGAATTTAGTCTAATGTGTGAAATCTGAGGTATCACAGTGAACAGAATGAGGAACTTTTAAGACACCCTTTGAAGATAGGCCCCGCCGTAAATGCAAGATTAGCCCGCCGTCTATGCACAGAAATTAGAATGATCCGTTTTATTAAACACTTTTGTTAATGCTCAATGATCAAGCATCACCCTCCTTCTTGTCAGAAGCTGCTGTGGACTTCGACAATACTGGAGAAGTGTGAGTAGAAGGAGGAGATGCTGGATTCTCTGTCTCGCCGGATCCTAATCCTGCTAGTAGACTATGGTAAAGTTAGTTGAGCGTCAATGGATTGTCAAGAATAGAATATACGAACCTAAACGCATTTGCGGAAGTAGCTGATTTCCTATCCTTGTCTTGTGGGGGTGTGCCTGTTCTTGAAGAAGCTCCAGAGTCTTCACCTGTTCTGCCCAAGGAACCTCCTGGTCCCATCTTTCGGCCACTGTTGCTTCTTGAAGAAAACATAGATGATGGTCCGAATGACATCTGTGCATTGGTGTTTCGGCTTGCACCACCCTTGTTTGTGAGACGACGAAGGTCATCCATACCAACAGTGTTCTTCTGGTAATCAGGAGGAGGTTGGTTACCATATCCACCAGAGAAGTTTCTTCCGTCACCACGACCCATTGGCATGCGTCCTCCACCACCACCTCTTTGACTCCTAGAGTTCTCGGCAGCCTTTGCAGCAGCAGCAGCCTCGGCCTATAATCAATTAGTATATCATCACTTATCAAAATTTGTGAGGAGACTCTTACCGCAGCTCTGACTTCATCAAGTGTCTGAGGACCCTTGTTTGCTTCCTTTGAAGCCCATCCCTTCTTACGAAGATCGACAATGTCCATAAGCATGAACTTGAGACGACTTGGTAACTCAGGTTGCTCCATCATGGCATTAATACGAGCGAAGTATACATCCATCAATGGTCTACCCTTCTCGGTGCTGTCAAGGTTAAGACCAATGGTCTTGAGGAGTTTGGTCAGAGACTCAATCTCAGCTTCGTCAGGAAGACCATTGTAGTCCACGAGTTTCTTGACACACTCGTGCATGATACGCTCTGTAAGCATACTAAGCTTGTACAACTCACCAATGAATTGAACAAGACCAAGACCACGTCTCTTGGCAGCAGCAGCGATATAATACTCGTCTGAGAGCATAGCAGCTTCTTCAGTCTTGGCATCCTCGCGTTCACCCTCGGGCTTCTCTGGCAAGTCAATCTTCCAACCTCTCTCGAATTCTTCTTGACATCTATTGAGCAAGTATTTTCGGAAAAGGTTACCACCAGAGACGATGTTTCCATTCTTGTCGACGATGCTCTCATCCTTGATGTCAGGGCTCATGGTCTCTAACATACGCTTACAGAACTTGGCATACATGGAAGCCCAGTGGGCTTCGTCAGTGGCCTTCTCGAAAGTAAGTTGGATGACCTGTCTCAATGTGCGGCCATCTGCTTCGTCTCTAGACTGTGCAGCAATAGCCAAGATTTGGTCGGCGATCTTGTCGAACTTCTCAGGAGTCATCTTGTTCAAAGCTGCCTTGACCTTTCTTTGGACCATGTCAGGATCCATGTGGCCAGCGCCTGGAGTGGCACCAGGTGTAGGTCCAGCAGCACCAGTAGCTGTTTGAGTTTGACCGACACTGCGTGGTTTCCAACCAGTGGAAGAAATTTGAATGGGCTTGATCTCCATACCGCTGGTAAGAGGCATCTTTGCTGCGGCTTGGGCCTCTTGCTTGGCGTTACTGCCTTGGTAACCACCTTCACGCTTGCTACCACCACGAGTGGATCTGCTTGCTTGACGTGGGGAGTGTGGCATAGAGTTGGTAGAGTTGGTTCGTTGCATAGAACCACCGGGGAAAGCTCCACCGGGACGTTGGAATGAAGCCATAGGGTTGTTGATAGCTGGTCGTGCCATATTGCCTTGAGACATAGCAAAACGCATTTCGCTTGTAGTGCCTGGTGGAAGGGTCTTTCCGCCTTGAGCACCAAATTGACCCATAGTGAATTGACCAACAGCATTTCCGCCACCACGGTTTGATCCTCGAGGACCCATACCACCAGGTGTTCTCTGTGATCCACCAGGTCTGGCAGAGCTTGGATCATCTCCGATGAGGGCCTTGATTTGTGACTCGAACTCCATGGATGGCTTCTCGGTGAATACCTTTTGGAATTGGAGCAAGAATTCTTTGTCGTATTTGAAGGTCTTGCCCTTGGCATTGGCGGCAGAGTTCAAAGCAGGGTTTGGCGAATTGATGTTGGGTGGATAGATAGAGGAGTCAAGAACAGCCAAGAAACGGGCAGACTTGAGCGACTGGAGAGCTGCACTAGGTTGAGGTGGCTCAACAGGCTTGGTGTTAAGGGGTGCAAGGTTAAGCGCAGCAGGCTTGCCTCGCTTTTCGGCAGCAAGTGTCTTAGGAGGTGGACCCATGGAGTCATCAGAAGTAGGAGTTGATGCACCGCTGTCGGTTTCGAGGGTAGCCTTTGAAAGCTTTGTAGCGAGAGTATCTGGGGTCTCCTCATCCTTCTTAGCATCGCCACCTTTGGCCTTGGCTTCCGCCTCGGCTCTCTTCTTCTCCTTTTCATCTTCGAGGCGCTCCATCTCGCGCTCCTGCTCCTTGAGTTTGCGGTCATTTTCTGCTGCATTGGCCTTGTCGGCTTCAGCTTTCTCGGCGGCGAGTCTTGCTTTCTCGGCGTTACGCTTCTCGAGAAGTTCGGCTTCTTTCTTCTCTCGTTCAGCTTCAGCTGCCTCCATCTCGGCAATTTGTCGCTCCAACTCCTCGTCAGCTTCCTTTTGGGCCTTCTCGGCAGCAGCTTTCGCGTCTGCTTCTTCCTTTGCCTTGGCTTCTTCGGCGGCCTTGGCTTCTTCCTTCAATTTGGCTTCAGCGGCGGCGGCGGCTTCAGCAGCCTTAGCAGCCTCCTCATTCTTGCCCTCGTCGACCTTGTCACCTGCTGCCATTTTCTTGACCTTTTCTTGCATCTCTTGACGAATCTCTTCAGCAGACTTGGTAGCCAAGCTATCAGTGCGAGCATGTTGAGGAGTAGCGGACTTTGGTGGAGGTGTTGGTGTAGAAGAAGCAATGACAGGTGGTGTTCTAGTTCTGTTGCTAGGAGCTGGAGAAGCAGGTGCCTTGATTGCGTCAACATTCAAGACATCACCGTCAGGTCTCTTAATGACAATAGCAGCGCTCTTGCGGGTTGGTCTAGAGAAGGTGTTTTGAGCAACAGGCTTTGGCTGAGGTGTATGTGAAGTGGTCGGTGCGATCATAGAAACTTGGGTTTGGCCCATGCTAGAAGCTGGTCGATGTTCAGACATTTGAGACGAATTGCGGGACATAGGTTGTGGTGCCTGTTGTGTATACTGACCAGCGATATATGGTTGGTTGTAGCCTGGTTGCGGTGATTGGGGTGGAACGGAGTGCATGTAACCAGCTTGAGGATATTGGAAAGTTGGAGGGCCACCCATTAAAGGCATACCGGGGTAAGGACCGTAGGGATGAGTCTGTGTACCTGTTAGAAATTTGTCAAAGTTGCCAGAAGCTGGCGAGAAATCAATATTTGAAACATTAGAAGAAACGTTGAAATAGGGAGTAGCAGAAGGGAGAGGGGGGAGGCTTGGGTCCGTAGAACTTAGATCTGCAGGTTTCTTCGGAATAACTGAATCCTTGGCTGGAGGTGAGGGCAAATTCAACTGTTGGTTGGAAACAGGAAAGCCATTCTCCTGGTGCTCCGACTGCATGGATCCTTTTCTATTTCTGGCAATACCTTGACCGTTACTTCCACGGGGGAACGGCTGTTCATGGTAGGTAGTGAAGCTGTGACCAAAAAGTTCTGTTGAAGGCTTTCGGTAATGTTGGGCTGAAGACTTATCAGACCACTTCTTGCCTCTACTACCAGCACCACCGCCGCCTCGATTGAACGTTGGACAAGAGAAAGAATCGCTGGAGTAAGAAGGGCATTGGTTTACCGGGTATTGATAGCCTTGTTGTACTTGAGGAGCTCCCATGTGAGATGGCTGATAGTAAGCATGAGCGTTGAATGGTTGTGGACTTTGCATGGGCATCGCTTGGTTCATGTTAGGAGTGCCGGGAATGGAGTTCGAAAGGGCTGGGCTTCGAGCGGCTTGGTGTGGAGAATTTTGGTACTGTGGGCGACCTTGGTTTTGGAAAGGAGGCATGCCACCACGTCCGGCATTTTGGTTGTTTCTGAATTGTGGTGGGTTTGGTGGAGGGAAACCAGTATGACCTGTATATTGTTGGTTGAATCCACCACGTCCACGACCACCACCTTGTTGATAGCCACCACGTCCAGCTCCTGGGCCTTGATTGTTGTCACTTTGTGCCGAATGCGATGATTCACGACGAAGGTGACCGCCTGCTTGACTGTTAGGTGCTAAAGGTCCTTGGGAGACTGCTTGTCGCATGTGTCGCTAAAGAGAAGCAAGTCAGTAAATGTGCCATGAACCTGTGAGGAATGATACTTACATCACCATCGTTGCCTAAACTACCAAAAGTCATGTTTCCTTGTTGAGAAATTCCGGATGGGGGTCTTCCACCACTTGCAGTTGGCTGAGGAATAGGAGATGGCGAGGTTGCTGGCGAAACTACTCTTGGGTTGTTTCCGGGAATTGGAATTGGTTCCGAGGCGGGTTGAGAGATTTGTGGGATGCTGTGAGAAGCGGCAGGAGAATCCATTAATGCTCCAAATCGAATACCACTTCTGGAACCACCGACTGGACCTCCATTGGGCACGTAACCTGCGGGACCGTTTGCGCTGATTGTAACCGAACTCTTACGGCTGTGGTCAGTCGAACCACCATTAACTGCAGCATTGCTATGGGCGATAGCAGGTGCAGAAACTGCCGGTACAGCTGGAGGAATCGAAGCTCTACCGTTTACCGGCGAGATAGAGGATGATTTTCCATGTTGCTGTACCGGCGCAGAACCTCCGACAGCCACGGCGGGTGATGGAGTCGAGGAGCTCGTCGCGATAGGTGGCGACGAGACTGCCTTCTTTGCGGTAGAAGCGTACGACTGGGTCGACTGCGACGCGCTAGTGGTGTTTGAGGCCTGGCTTTGGTTTTGAGATTGTTGAGGAACGGAAGTCATAGGGTGAACTGTTTGTCGAAGGTGACCTCGTATCTTTTCGTAGGAAGGGATTTTAATTAAATTGTATGACGTTATCGCGATAGGTGTGGATGACGGGTGGTATGCCTTCGCAGACGGTCGATATTGAATTAGAATCGAAATCTATTAACAAGAAAAAGAATCTTCTTGAATTAAATCGATAAGTAAAGGTTGAGTGGAGAGAGGATTTGTGGTTATGTTTCTTCCTGAGTGGGCAGAAATTAATCGCTCTCAAAAAAAAGTGCGAATATCTGGAGATTCGCCCTCTCTTTTCGTGTGGGTGAATGGATGGGAGAATTTGTATTCGTTACAGTCTGAAGAACTATAACTGTACAATTCTGGTGAAAGGTCGATAGTTTAAGAAAGCTATCGAGGAGACTATTCCTGCTGCAGTCGTTCTTCTAAAGAATAGAAGATGTGCTGCTGGGATAGTATTTTTGGATTTTGGGAGGTATTTTCAAGTTGTCTTGAAATTGTTGGTGGTAGAAAAATTGTTTCGAGAGAAATCCTGATATCTTCGATGGTGGCTCGGCTAGTTGGTAAATGCTTAACTTTTTTTTCTAGCTGGTCTGGGGCACTAAGGGAAAATGTGAATGTGTGAATAGATGCCTTGGATATAAGGCTCATATGAATGGTATGAGGAAAACTAAAAATTAACTAGTGAAATATCGACCAATACATATAATATCTACTAGGGCGGTAGGTACTGTTCCCTCCAAAATCATCAAAATGAATGATGCTTTTGCCTCTAGAGGTTTGCTAAGGCTTTGTTTGTACGGACGAATTATCACAGTACACAGGTGAAATGGTGAAATGGTGAAATTGGGTGTAGGTCCAGCCAACAGAATATCTACACTACTAGGTACCTAGTGAGTGGGCGATTGAAGGACGTAGCTGCCTATTGACTGGAGGAATTTATTTGTGGTTTTCTTTGAATCCTTCATATACTACCTAGTCCTCAGCTATATATCCTTATATCCTTCTTAACAAAGTATAAAGGTTGACATAGACATAGATTATGATTGTACTGATCTCTACAATGAAAGTTCCATATTATGTTAAAGAAGATTGGGAAGACAATGTGAAGTGGAAATATGTACGTTCATTTCAATTGGCTGGTGAATCGATTATACTGGGTAAAAGATAGACTTGGTTGGCTCTGATTTGTACGTATGGTTTGTCTCTTTATGGAAGGAATCATTAACTAGACCGTTTTTCAAAGGAAGATACATTCTCGACATTCAACTGTAAATATATCCTTAACAGCTATCTACCTAGTGGTACACTTCGACATAACCTTATGAGTGACCCCGACCTTATGTTATACTGTTCTTTCATCAAAACCTCTGGTATCTCTGCATGAAGAATCAATTGAATGACGCTCCGCTGGCCCTCTGGGAGCCACTGCCGTGGGGGCAGACTAGCTAGGTATGTATGTATGTGAAGAGGAAATACTTTTATATCTTCAACATTTCGAGCGCAGCGAGCTATGGGGGTTTGGGGGCTTACCCCCATAATAATACAATTATAACATCCTCCTCTGTTACTCCTATCAAAAAAGGAATAAATCAAATTTAACTTTGTCATGCCACATTATTCTTCCTTATTTTTTGAATCCATCACTAAAAGAAAGTTGAGACTTGCTATGACTCGACCGACGCCAAATGCCCGAGGAGTCAAGACCTTTACGACTGGCACAGTCACGGTGAGACTTGACATTTCATCATTACATCGAATCACACACGGTACCATTTCAAACACGCTAGGTATAGTCATGGATAACCAAGCCCCTGGGTAAGAGATTTATTTATTCTTGGACTTGGGTGACATGGCAATAGGTAGGCAAAGCATATTTTGGGGATTTCTATCCTTGGTCTGACCTGAGTTGCATCACCAGTCAGTCATAGTTTACGTACCGGTGAGAATCCAAAGTAGTTCTTACTTCTTCATGGACACTTATTCGAGAAAAAGTTCCCCTATTTCAACCCCAATACTTATACCAAAATGGGCATTTTACCTTCCAGCTGAACATTTCACATCATTGACATATCACCAACTCATCAGCTCTGATACCGGTACTCCACTCTCAAGCTCAAGCTCCAAACATTATAAGTTGATAAATGCTAGTGCCACAATTCTGCACCTCGATAACCAATCGATCCTTGATCTGAAAGTCCACCGCCATTGGAACAGCCTTGAAGAAATACAACAGGGCGTATGATACAACTTACGAGGTATCGGTATTGCCCGGTTCCTCAGAATCATCACGTATTATTCAATCTGTTTTTGATATCCAATTCTTGATTCAATGGTGCAGCACAAAATAACACCGATTCATCAGACGATACAACATGATAGAATTCTTCCTAACCACCTCGAGCCCATCTACTCAAGTATATCATGGCTCACCTCCGAAATTTGTACACATATCACCCCAACGAATTGGAATCATTCGAGAACACATAAAGATTACACAGATCTCTTCTTTAGCCACTTTACATGTGTTACAGCTGAATATCTAAAATAAAATTTGGAATTGGATTCTCTACCCATCAGTACCTCGAGAGTACCTACCTACCTAGGTACCTAGTCCATATCAAACCCGACCATCCGTCCCCCTTTAGAAGCAATTTTTGTTCGTCAAACACCTCCAGCTGCATCCCTTGAACTCTCAATGGAGTAATACTTCGTACATCAGAAAACCTCAACCAATATCAATATATATCAATATCAATATTCCATTCAATAGATACCCATCATCCCATTTTTCATCCCCCTTACCTTTCCTTGAGAGATACCTAAATACCTAAATACCAACATGCGTGTCATCCATTTCACCAATCTATTCAATTCAATTCTTCCCACACCAACCAATCCCATCCCACATCCACATTCACATTCACATCTATATTACTCTCCATCCCATCCCATCCCATCCCATCCCCATCCCATCCTCCACTCCAATCACCACAATCCTCATCTAAACTCCACCACAACACAACCGACCGACCACTAACCAACTTCAAAACGTACATCGTACAGCCGTTCTTCGTAGCGCATGAGTAAATAATATAGTAAGTGAGTGAGTGAGTGAGTGAGTGACTCATTCTGACATCTATCATCTATTCATATTCATGTACTAATTATCTAGTATCTAGGTAGGTAGGTAGGTACTAGTAGATTATAGGTACTCGTAGATACTGTATCATCTAGATACCGGTAGTGTAGCGATGAACTACGGGGTATCTATCAACGGTGAATGGAAATCGGAAATCTGAAATCTGAAATTATGGTGTGAGTTTGCTGTATGAGATGATGGGTGGGTGGTTGGGAGAGGTAGTGGGTATAGATATATATATATTGAGTATATATAGATACCTATATGTAGATAGGTACTTACTAGTTCTAGATACTTTTACTTATTACTAGATAGATAGGTGTTTATTTATATGACCTCGATATCTTATAATATATATTCAACTTTATCTATTTAATCTATATATATTACAGAATGATATAAATAGTATAAATAGTATAAACAAATATATTATATCTACTAGATATCTATCGATCAAATATACATATATAAACAAATACCTACCTATCTCTATACAATATCATACAAAGTACTAGCTAGATATTATAGATATTGTAGATATGATAGATCTACCTTCCTAGTAGGTATTTAGACGTGCTAGATATAGATTTCTGTGATTATAACGCTTGAATTGTTAATAGATTGAAATGATAACTCTAGAGTAGAGACTAAACTTATAGTAAGTAGGTAATTAGTAATTAGCTATGAATGAGCAGGTAGTAGGAGAATAGGTAAATCCATAGGTATGAGATAATAGAGTGAATACTACAGCCCCTTCTAGCGTGGTTTTACTAGCTTTCTAGCACCTTAAATAGCTTCAACCTTTCATAGAAATACAATCAAGCTTTTCACCCTCTTCAATACGTATTTAGCCTCTTTTCTGTATGTAAGTAAATAGGTAATTTGCGTAAGCAATCCAATCCAATCAATAGAATCGAGAGAGAGAAAATAAATGCGTTATCCCCTAGAGTGCGGACATTCGGCGCCCTCGCTTAACAGGTATCTTAGTGACCAATCAGAACATCAGGATACTTGGAATTAATCACATATTCATATTCAATCGTTAATATAAAATATTTTTGATATTATTTCTACTTTGAAACTTTGAAGAAAATAATATAGATTAATTTCTAATCTTCCTTCTCTTAATCTTTTTAGAAAACCATGATTTGAAATCAAGATTCCTTTTTATAAACAGAGTGATTAAAAAAGCATTACAAAAGCCAATCTAACCAATCATATTTCTTCATACAAGGTATATTGCACGGACCACAATGGGCGCCATTTGCCCGCACTCTAGGGGATACTAGCTCACTCCTACCTTTTGCATGTGATTCCGATCGACCATTTCGCTGCTTGGCATACGATATACAACTATCTAGGTAGGTATATACAAATATCGTAGAAGAATATTTTTTGTCTATGTGCGAAGGTTACATAAACACAACCATAATATCGTAATATAGAAAAGATAAATCTCGAGATTCGAGATTCGAATTTGCCTCTTCTTCACCTCTGTATGTAATCTTATATACGAAGTCTGGAGATCTTGATCTCCGGATGCTTTCTACGATATCTATGATTATGATGCATGCATACCTAGGTACTTTTAGTGTACTGGTGCGATGATATGGTACCGGTACCGTATGATAATCATTGATACTTTATCTATGCGAGCTATGCTCTATTATTCATTCTATCCACGCCAACTGGTGAACCTACCCCGCCGCATCAATCAATCAATCAATCAATCAAATACTAGGTCGATACTTATTAGCTCCACTCCACCCAATCTACCTACCTACCCAAATCTAATCTGGCAATGGTCATCGTCTGTTAGTTAGATATGGTATGTATGGTATGGTATGGTGGGACACACCAAAGGAAAATAAAATAAAATAGAGGGAAAGTTAATAAAGTTAATCCAAGATTTCCCTGGGTAGGTAGGTAGGTTACTATTACTGGGTTACTAGGAGGAACTTACTCATCATGGTATTTGATGGGTGGGTTAGGTATGCGATTTTGTGGTTGTTGGAAGTACGGAGTAGAGTGTAAGCTAGAGAAGATAGGGGGTATGGATTAGGTGGTTCTGGAAATGGAAATGGACATGGACATGAAAATGGATATGTATGGAGATCGAGGGGATTTGGAATGGAATTGAGGGAGGGGATGCGATGGAGGGGAAATGGAAAGAAGGGTTCTTGCCCTTATCTCGTGATTTTTTGGGAGGGGGGTGGATGTGGTTTTTGATGTGGTAAGGTATTGGTAAGGTATTGTGAGGTATTGTGAGGTACAGTAAGGTATTGGTAAGAACATCGTCAAATGATCCAATAGTGGAAGAAGAGACTAGATATGTACGTAGTAAGTTGAGTTGTAGATTGGTGATGTGGCATTTTTTCCGTGTGGGGAATGGGGGGTTGTCTTGAGAGGGAGAGGGGAGATTTATGGTTAGGTATGCTTACCATGGTGTGATTGTTAGGAAATCGGGATTGGAATTGGGATTGAGATCACGACCTGGCAAAGAAGAGGGGTAACTTGAGAAAATGGCGGGGGTAGGGTTGGAGCGGCCCGAATGTGGATGAGGGATGGGTGGGTGAGTTGAGAATGCGATGAGATTGGTAGGGATAGGGATGGGATAGTAGTTGGCTGAGTGGAGTAAGTGAGCGGAAGGGCAAGTGCCCTAATTTGGATTTGTTTTGTTGAGGGGTTGAGTTGGATTGAATTGAGCTTGAATTGAACTGAATCGAATCGACTCGGGATTGGGGATTGGGTTTGGGTAGGTATTGGCATGGAGGGGTTGTTGTGGCGTATACGTGTGAGTGGTGGGGGTGGGAAATGAGATTACTCCCGGTGAGTATCTTGATATGGTTGATCAATTGTTTGATGGTATGTGAGTTTGATAGGTAGGTAGATTCGAAAATCTTATGTCTTTGGTTTTTTTATGTTATTCGGATGGATGTTGGTTCGACGATTCAATGGGAAGTGAGTGAAGGAGGAGGGTGTTGATATGAAGATCTTTGGGTATAAAGTTATGTTCATTTTGTTTGTACATAGCAAAGTGATGAAGGTCTAGTGGACCCTGATATCATGAGAGTTAATTGTCAATTCATTTATGAGTTTACTTCTGCGAGGTTACTTGTCGTTGCTGCTTTCTGTTTACGGTCTATCTTGCCCAGAAAAGGATGATTCTCATAAGTTTATTCAGAAAATCTGTATCACTATTACTCGTCATCACAAAATCTTCAGAGAAGGGAGGATACTCCTAATTTGTATCTCGGAACTGGAATCAATAGTACGGGGTGATGTTGTAGTCCTGATACATACATATATTCAAACCGAATATCTAAACATCACCGCTCACAGGACGTTGTGCTCAATATCTACTTTCTGTCAATCAACTACTTTTCTAGAGAAGAAATTCGTCGGTACCATATCAAGTAATATACATATAGAACTCTGCCCGTTGTGGAGATCATAAGAAACTTAATAATTACAGAATTTCATCTGTTCTTGGGAGTGACTTCGTCGCTGAGCATGATATTACATACCAGATATTGCATAGTGCATACCACGTATCATATTGAAAACTCTGGACTCATTCACAAAACGAAGGTTGGTGATCATGTGGAATCGAAGGGGCGACGAGAAAACGTTTAGCTCGTCTGCTACTGTAACGAAAGGTATTCTAGGTGTTTATGAATCTATTCCATATTGTTTTTGAGTGGAGGCTTGGTGTAGAACTTGTTGGTTTCTTGCGTATGAGTGGAATAATCTTGTATTGGGGAAGATCACCTCGTGAGCATTGAGAAGCGATCCGAGAAATGGTGCTTGGCTCTTAAATGGGTCGGTTGTTTGGAACTTGAGGCCATATATTGGATGAGGGAGCAAATATATCTAACTTTTATGCCCTAATGCACCCTCGAAACAATATCACAGCGCGCCTTCAGACCCCAGCACGTTTTAATACCCAGACTTCAAAGCAATAAATAACAGTATCAATCTGGCGGCAGAGCATGTATTCATGATTAAGCAGCAGGAAGAGGGATAAATGAACAATGGGCCTGGATATTTTGACAAGAACGAAAAGAGAGGAAGATAGAAGATGAAGACCGAAGAGATGAAGAGCATAAGAAAGAATTAACCTTTGAAGAAATAAAATAGGCCGAGAAGGAAGAGCAACGGGAAGAAGGATAGAAAAAACGGGGGAAGAACATCTGACTGCAAGCGCAGACGCGAAGCCCGCGCTCATAGAAATAGGGGGCAAGGTTCTGAGAATGAAAAGTCATCGCAGACTACGAATAATCTAGTACTTGCTGGAATATAAGCGACAAAGGTCGACCCCTGGAAGAGCGACTATCTACCGACGAGTATGTCTGGTATTAGACTGAGAGAAGAATGAGGGAACGATTGTATGGATAATGGATGGAGCAAAACTCAGATAGAGATTATCGTTTGATGAGACTGAGATACCTGTAGGAGGTATATCACTTGGTATATATATAATCATGAAATAGTTGAGTGGTATACCCCATCGGCGAGTTATCTTTTTGAATATTCCTAAGACTTTCCATAGTATGTATCATATCGAGGCTTTGTAGAGTATGTGGTGCGGAGTACGGTGGGATAGGGTAGGACATGAAACAACTTGGAGGTTTCTTTAGTTTTCTTCTTTTTGCGATGGAATGAGGACACATGAGTGTTTTCTATCATTCAAACGTATCCTATCGATGACTGTAGACTGATGATTCATAAATAGGATATAATTGATTCATACGAGATTTTCATTGGAGTCACTGGTATTTTGATGGGAATAAATGGATCGAGATTCGCAGGTTTGAAAAAGCTTTTCCTTAACCTTTCCCTTTTCGTTTCTCTATCACTGGCATTACGCATCTATTCAGGAAACTTCATATCATTTACATTTTTCTCAAGAGGCATCTATCTAAATTCACAACAATCATTAACATCAAGCAGCCATGCTACCCCTAACTCGAATTTTCTGGAACAGATCTTGGCATAGCTACAACACGGCATTGGAGGAGTGCGATCATTGTGAAATAATCTTTACAATCTACAACTGCGGCTGTGTCCGAATGACTCTCCCTGATTTCGACAACGATCCCCTCAGCAAATCATGCAGAATTTATCCTATTTCCGACGACCCCTCCAAACCCGAACCCAAACCAACCACAAGACCCAAAATTTTCTACAAGCAAAAAAAGCATGGCTGTGAAAGAGTCGTCATTAGAGACCGTAAAGATAAATGCCTATGGAATGGGAAAGAAGAAAAACAATGTCCAGATTGCGAAGACTGTGCTTATTTCTACAAGAAATGTACTCATATAAAAATGGGCCCTAGGCAAAAATGTCGGGAGGAAGCGGATCTTTATGCTCAAAGAAACCCGCGGAAACATATGCCACATATTGTTCGTCGTGATAGGGACGAATTCTGCAGTGAAGAATGTGCAGATACACAAGCAGTTCTTGATGAGGAACAACGAATTTTGGAAAAGAACGCCCGAAGAAGAAGTGAGAACGAGGCTCGGGAAAAGGAAGAAGCTAAACGACATCTTAAGTTTGTAGAAAATCACGAGCGAAATAAAAGGGCCCAAAGACCCCAAAGTGATATACCATCCACTTATGGTAGAGTTTCGTCATCATCGACTTCCTCGAGATCGTCAAATAATCCATATCGCCATTATACTGATGCTCAGCTTGCGGAAATCGCGCGAAATACCACTCGGACGTACAGAAAATAGCGAGGGGGTGGGACGCTGGGTGTAGTTGACTGCTTTGACATGAGTCTTGTCAAGGTCGTGTTGCTTGGTATGTTTATTGAGTATAAGTCAGCCATGCATGTAGATGGCATGTCTTACGGACTATTGTGGATGGATTGCTAATATTACCTTATTCTAGGATATTCTGTGGTGTTGGTAGTATTAGGGAATGGGGGAGTTGGTTGCGGAGTTTAGATAGGGGTTTTGGGAGTTATTTTTTATTTGTCATTCGAGGAATTTGGGGAAAGCTCGACATGGAACTTAAGGAGAGATCTTGGGGAGTTCTTTGGTGGTTTTGCGGGAACTGGGGTTTTGGGTTAGAGAAAGACGAGGCTTCCTATATTCAATATCAGGTGAGTGTTTGTCAAGTGCAGACTCATAAGTTGAATCATTATGGAACATGTATTTTTAGTTTATCTGGGAGTCACTCAGAGAAATGTGTTCAAAAGGATTCACATTTTCGATTTGGAGTTTCTTTTTCACTTCTTCTTTACATTACCAATACGAGAGCTTTAAAACCATTCACATCACATTTTGATCTTTGAACTAAATCAACAACTACTATTCAGATACTACTATTTCAATATGTCTCATTACTCGAAAACCACTATGGATTCCCAATACGATAATCCGCAGCAACAACGACAACGTCAAAGCACAGTTAGCGAAGAACAAAGAGGGGCTATCCGTAAACAGAACGAAAAAAATAGAGCGCGAGAAATATGAACAGCGAAAGAAACAGGAACGTCGATATGCAGAAGCTCGAGTCAATGGAATGGTCGATGAGGAAAAAGATCGTCCCCAAGGCAAAGCCAGTGAACGCCGTTATGGAAAGAATTCTTCTGGAGAAACGAGCGTGAGGAAAGGTGTTCATTGGAAATAGAGGTTTTGAGGGGTATCAGACGTGAGGAGGCTATCATGGTATGTGGTGTTCGATGACACAATTTGGAGGTTTCTTTGGTTTCTTTTGTCATATGCTTTTCGGTTTCGGGTTTGATGGTATTTGGATTCTGGCATGACTCTATCCTAAGAGAAATATCATATATATGACTGCAAAGTACAGTTGTATCTGTCGACTCAAAATGGGATAGGTTGTTAGATTCATAGACAAGGATCTCTTGAGTCTTAGTTGGGAATCATCCTGAAGGGTTCGAGCAGATATACCTCACAGGATTGAAATTCCTAAATTGAGATTCTTTCTTACTTTTTATTACATTACCAATACGAGATTTTTTTTGAAAACACTTTGCATCTTTCGATCTTTGAACTAAGTAAACAACAATAATCAAACTTCCATTCAAACAAAATGGTTTACTATTCCTCACGCTTCATCTCCCAGAACGAACACTACAATGATTACCGACCGCAGACTACCCAAGCATCTGGCTACTCTCCTTCAAATCTGTTTTCACCACCAACGCCCAACACCTCTTCCCGTGATCCACAACACGATACCCGTAGAACTTACCCACCCCAGCCCCAGAGGCGATTCCAGCGCTCCTCTTCGCCTCTTCCGAAACCGCCAATAGGACCAACCCAAGACTCACGTGCGCCTTCACCAACACCTCCAAGGCCGCCTCCTCGTGCCCAGACATATCCGTCCGTTAATCTGCATGCTCGTGGAAATAGCACCTTTCACGGCTCAGAGGGCAAAAAATCACAAGGGAATCCCGAACAGGAAGATCGGACAAGATCTGCCAGAAGGGGAGTTCAATATGAAGAGATAAAGAAAGATGGAGAGCGAAGGAAGGAACCTGGAGAGAAGAGAAGAGAGCGGGAGACCAGAGATCAACGTAAATATAACGCCGAGAAGGAAAAATTGGATTATCAAAGACGAGTGGAGCGAGATTGTAATCGACCGGTTGATAGACCAGAGGTTAGACCTCGTGGGAGATCAAGAGAAGGAAGTTCACTGGGAGTGGCAGAGGGTTCGAGATTCGCGTGGTTAGTTGCTTGTGGGATATGCATAGCTTGGTAAGTTTTTCTACACTTTAAGCGGTGGTTGCTCAATGTACGTTTGGATTCGTGGCTAAGTTTCAACTCTTCTAGGGATCTTTCTTAGGATATAGATATGCAGTATAGAATGACGCGGTTTGGGGATTTGTCCGCTTCTTTGGTTATTTCTTATTTCGGGGGGGGGGGGGTTGGAAGAGTGTATTCAGGCGGTGTTAACTTCAAGGGATATCACTACAGAGTGCAAACCCATGTTTAAGATGGTTGGCTCAAGATTGGTACCTTTTAAATTCACAGGCAGGGGTTTTATAGCTTGGAGTCATTTCAGAACCTGAATAAATCCATAAGAATTCGTACTCGCTGGTTCGATTCTTTTTTTTCATTTAGTTTGCTGTACAATGCAACTTTACTTCTCGTGCTTTACAATATTATGTCTTTTTGAAACTTAACACTTTATTCTTCTATCGTCTAGATATGCCAGGCTTTTGTGGTGAATACTTAAGATGTCTTATACAGTAAATCTTCTACCAGGTGTCGCACGTGTGCGATTACCTTCTGTACCCATAGTTGTGAATATATCATAATTGAATTATCAGAAAACACAAACATTACGCCCCAAATTAGATCACTGATGTACAATCACTGTTAAAGTTTTTTTTTAGAAAGGAAATGACTCCATTTCTGAGTTGAGTTCTTACTATGCCATGACTGTTAAAAGCAAAGTCTTACTAGGCTTCGACTGATTCGTTCTGTATTATTTCTGCATGAGTGTCATTTTCATTGGATCATTGGAATTTTTGTTATTATCCAGCAGTCACTTGTAGTCTAGAGTTGGTTATAAGGATTCAGGGTCGCCGGTTTGGGGATTTTCTTCTTTTCCTTTACATCAATAATTCAAGTCTATCTGCAGACTTCATACGAGACATCAAAAGTGTACAGTATCATCAAATAACAACAAGCATACATAAATTCCGAAGATGTCGTACAACAACTACCGCCACCAGGATAACCGCCATCGGCTCCAAGATTTCACTCCTCAGGCGTCACAACTTCCTACAACTTCCTATATTTCTCCTTCATATAGGCAGCATACAGCCCGATACGCTACCACGGCGCCACAGAGCGACGTAACTTCGCGGTGGTCAGATACAAATTCTACCACGAACTTGTCTGAAACAACATCTCTAACAGGATCAGAGAAAGAGAGGCTGGTTCATGAAGGAACAGAGGGAGATCGTCGACGTTATGAGAAATGGAAGAAATGGGCACGTGAACAGAAAGAAGAAGATAGGAAGGAATGGGCACGTGAACAGGAAGAAGAAGATAGGTTAAAACGTGCAGCTGCGAACGCTCGTAGACAGAAGAGGAGGCATAGACTCCAGGTACTGGAAAGACAGATACGCGAATATGAGGATTTGATATTGGAAGCTGATAGACAGAGGAAGGAAGTTGATGGATAAAAAAGGGAAGCTGACAGACGGGCGATGTTACGCACAAGTTCCTCAGACAATAATCACTCAAGAAGTGAGCAAGCCACTAGATATGCGGTGGGAACATCAGATCGACGACTTCCCTACACGCATTTGTCTGATGAAGCGCTCATCGGCATTGCAAAAGAATGCGAGAAGAGAAGTGAGCGCAGACACTAGATATTGCAGGTAGAATTTTGAGTCGAAAAAGGTATGCTTATTCACTCTTACCAAATGAAGAGTGCTGACGATGATTAGCATAATTCGGCCAGTTGGGGCTTTTGAACAATTTTAGTTAGTTGGAGGATGGATGATATTAATATTTTTTGGATTTTGGGGCAGATTTGAGGAAGTAGTCTTACAGGTGTTTTTGGAGGAAGTTTTCTACGTATCTCAATTTTTTCAATTATGTTCAAATGCGTCACGTTTCGATAAAGTGAATGAACATATACCATACAATTAAGCGGCGATGACAGTTCAAGCGGTCTTGGCAGACAGTGAATATGAAAATAAAGACGTCGCTGAAGATTGAACAGTAATTTGCTCCCCTTGAACTTATCAATCTTACGAAAAGTTGAGTTTATGCTTGTTGGACACCTTTCCTCGGTAAAAATAGGAGAGACCCTACATCTCATTTGACGCAACCATTAAATTCCAATACTACGTCAACTTCCTTCGAGCATGTTTCAATCACTATTAAAACATCGCCACTGGTTGTGTAGTAGAGCCAGTCACTCATATGATAGTTACGGAGTCATTATGAATTGTGTTTTTGATTCATAAGAGAATTTGGCATTATCTTAGAGTCAATATGGTGGATACTGAATCCTGATAAAAGGTTCAGCTTACCCTGGACTCTCTTTTTTCTTTAAATTCTCTTCATACTGACAACACACTTCTCTCTCTCAAACTTCGAATCGTTTACACTACATATTTCTTGATAATACACCACCACTCAATATTCAATGGTCATGTCTCTTAAGAACTGGCCCGACGAAAATTATCCTGGCTGCGACGTGTATTTGCCAGAATGCAAAACATGTATATTACAGTACTGGATCTATCTTTGTGGGTGTATCCAATTTACCTGCCCTGATGTTCCCAATATTAGGGTAAGAGGTAGCTGCTGGACATGTCATCAGTATCTGCCCAGTGACGAACACCCGGAGCCAACTACAAAACCAAAGATCGAGAGCTATATAAAATCGACTACTTGCGGAAAGAAGGAATGTGTGGAGACCTCTGGGCTTCCAAATTGCCGAAAATGTGCAACTGTGATCATCATCTACAAATGTGCATACTTGAAGGTCAAAAAATCAAGACACTGGTGCGAAGGGTGCCATTCTAGCAAGAGCAAATATCGCAGCAGTCAACCAGAGCTACTACTCGTACCTCACAATGAAAATCCAGATGGCATGGTTTGTGAGAATTACTCAGACCACGAAGAACGTCGAAAAAAGCGAAAAGAGTTGATTTCACAGAAAATAGTACCAGATTTTTCTAACTCTCAATCCTTTCAGCCAGAGAGCCACAGGCAACTAAACCCTGATTATCCCAAAGTCCGGGACGCTACTTTCAAGAGACCAACAGTAACAATACAACGAGGACCAACGCTACCGCCACATCATGACCATCAATATACATATCCACGAGAACGTGAGTCGAAGACCAAATACGCTCATACACCGGTGATGACATCGACCCATGAATCTACAACATCAACCTATGGAGGTTATGGATATGCGGGGGGATATCCGCAGAGGCAGCCAAATCCCCACTATGTCCCTGTCCCTGGTTATGTGATACCACGAGCTTGGGATCAGTCACTGCAACCATTGATACTAGAGGAAAATCCACAAAGATACGCAGATTGGCGGAACGAACGGAAACGAGAAGAAGCCCGTTTCAGTAGGGCGGCCGACAGAATAAGTACCGAGGACGCTGCCCCTTATGAATCAACCTTACCCCGAGAAAACGTACGCCCGAGGGAGCATAGAAAATCGACGCGATGATCAAGCCGCCATGGCAGATAGTCGTCGAGCGATAGAACGTACTTAGACGAGTGGGCGTTTTCAGTGGAGTTCAAATTACTGCTTGTGGGATACACTTCTTGGTGAGTTCCTTGATGACTCCATATGCTCTAGAAAAACATTACTAATCTATAGTCACTGTCAAAGTTTCGTTTGAGGGGGGATGACTCTACCTTGGGGGAATTGGTATCATAGTGTGAGTCTACACTACACAATCATACTATGTATGGTATTAACTGAATCATTATCGAATATGTTTCTTTTTATTTGGGAGTCACTTGGAGTCTGGAAAGAGGGTTATATGGGTTGAGGCATGCTGGTTTTGGGATTTTTCTTCTTCTTCTGTTTTCTATCAACAATACAATTTTACTTTCGTTGCTTTCAAATATCACAAATCTTTTGAAACATACCTATCTTGAATACCCAACTTGAATGCCCAACTCTGTCACACTACATTATTGAAACCGGTATGCCTAACATCATCAACTATAACTGTTCCTTGGTTGGACGCGATGTAGGATTGCCGACTTGTCCAAAGTGTAAGATAACCTACACAGTCTACGACTGCGGATGCTACCAAATGTCTCACCCTATTTATGAAACTGACTGCAGCACATGTGTTCAATGACGACCCGAGGACCTAAAACCAGAGCCAACCAGCATACCAATAATAAATTGCCAATGTAATAAATGTCACTTGTGGGAACGAGGATTGTATCAGAATTTCCAAGCTTCCGACTTGCACAGAGAAAAGGGGATTTTGCACGACACGTTTTATGGTCTACGCGTGTGGGGAGATAGAAAGACGAGAGCGTTTTTCCTCTTCTTGCAAATTGTGCCGGCCTTGGGGACACTTCTACCCCGCAACTCGACCAATACGTCTTAAGGCTTTCTTCGGTCACCTGCAACAACCAAAGCTCCAGAACGTCTGTGGGAATTACTACGAACACGAAAAACAACGAAGAGATCGATAGGACGCGGCTGAGATGGCGAGAAGAACCGCGGAGCATGAAGACAAAAGGCGATATGAACGAGATAGGAAGCTGCAAGGAACCAGCAACACGAGCAAAGCTGGCAAACAGCACGCCCCAGTATCACAAGCTTATGATTCCCCTGCACCAACATATCCTGGACAGCAATATACTCCACCGAGATGGCCTGGTCCACAAGCTCCTGATCCATATCAACATTATCTTCCCATTCATGTTCATTTCTTTGGAAGGAGTTTTCTTACTATTTCGCTTCTGTATCAACAATACCATCCCATCCCATTTCCTATCTATTTCCTTGGGAGGAGTTCCGATCACATTGTGTTTTAGAATGGAGGTTACATTTCATTTTTCATTGGCGTCGTTCTCTCAGGGAAAGTTCAAATAGCAGGCTATTTAAGAATGGTGGTCAAATCACATCGTTGTTTTACTCTCTTCATGAGTCTTTTTATTTGCGCGTGATATCAATTGTGCATCTTCAAACGGTGAACTTCTTGTTGTAATGAAATATACAGATGTGAAATACAGATGTGAAATTAAGGTCTGAAGAATTGCTACCATCCTACCAACCAATGATAGGAAATCCCATGATGCAAACAAATATGTATACAACCCTAGCCCATCTCAAACCCGCTCAAACCACCCCTGAGTATTGAAATTATTCCCCTTTCCCTCCCTATGATACTTTTCATAAAGAAAATTCGCTCCCACAACCGTCAGATTTTCTCTCTCTGCCCATTCTCTAATCCCACTCCCTGGTTTCTCGAAACCCCAATGTTTCCTCTCCTCGGGTTCCTTCAAATCTACATTATCACCCTCTAGCAACACAAATACATATCTGTGTTTTCCTGTTCCTTTTGGTGGCGCTGGTGCTTTATCTATTCCTTCTGGTCAGCTTACTCTATCCTCCTTCACCAAATTCTTTCTTTCCCGCAAACTTGTCTCCCCGATAAGAAGAAACATAAGAATGACAAAGAAGAGAAACTCACAATCGACAACCCCTACCTCCTCCAACTCCCTTCCACTCCACTCTCCACTAACCCCTTCCCTTCCAACTACAGCCTCAGGAATCCTCGCAATCCAATGGCACATCTCAGACATGCTATCATCATCTCTCGAAGGTGCGTCTGGATCTGTAAGGATAATAGTCAACCCACCCTTAACATGATATTTCCCAGGACAGAAAACTTGGATCGAGGGCGCGGATTGAGTCTGCGAGGGGCGGAGTTTATTGCCCAATTTTACTTTCTTTGAGGAAGACGAGGAAGAAGATGGGGAATAAGAGGGAAGAATGTAACAGGTTGGGATAAAAGGATCTAGAACATCGGGGATGATGGATGATTTTTTAAGACTGGCCATCAAAGTGTTGGTTAGCATGGTGACGATTTTAAAATCACGTTGAGGATAACAGATACGGACGTTTTCTTGATTCCTTTCAAGGACTTGAGTTTCTCAGTACGTAGTCCATCAGATCCAGAAATATCATAATCATACGATTCTGGGGATAAAACAAGAGCGGAGCTGAGCTCAATGAATGCTGGTAGAAGAAGCGTGAGGGACGCAAGTAATTGCATTTTAGCTATATGAATTGAGTTGGTTGGAATTGATTTTCTGCTTGCAATGTAAGATAGTTTTGATAAATGAACAGAAAGAAATTAACGTTGAAATTATGCTTCTTTATATAGACATTCGATATTGTAGCACCCGTTTGGCTGGGCAGACGTTGCCGGTGACGTCGGCATGCTCAAAAACGAGGGGTAATCACGTGAAAACTTCCTCCGAGTGGCAATCACGACGTCGATGCAAGAACTATTCTCGGTAGTAAGGAGCTCTTCAAGATGTATGCGAAAAGATTCCGATGGACCCCTGAATTGAGGAGTTTCAGGAGGTGAATATGAAGAATTAGAATACATTGCACTTGTATTTTAGTTCTTGCTGGCGGTGGATCTTGTCCATGACCAGGAAGAAACCCCGGATCCCAACTAAATCGCCTTTTCGAGTTTTCAACGCTGGATCGGCTGGCATATTCTGAGATGCGGAGATTATTTGACATTGGTATAAATGATTATAATTGATTTCTTTCTCACGTCAAAGATATCTTATGAAAGATAAGTCCCAAAAGGTAAAGATATAACATAATGTGTGGGAGAAGAATAGAATGGTCATGAATTATTTACTTGATCAAAGCTGTTGTATAGGAACAGCTTCGATCCCTCTAAGTTTTAAATGATCTTTCAAAGTCGATCCCCGTATTACGCCAATCATCCATGAATCATACATATCTCGAGGCTCATTACATGATCATCTATGAGATTTCCTTGACACGGCATTTCCAACCGGAGCCAGCCTCAAGTAACGGAAGACTATTAATTGTTAGATTTGGAATTAAAAGGGAGAGAAAACAGAGGAATAAAACATACCTAGCACCGAGACACCATCCAAGCTCATTACCCTTGAGCTTCTTTGCAATCTTGACCTCTCTGTCAATGGGCATTTCATAACCAGTGTGCAACAAAGCCATCATGAAGTTCAAATCAAGACACCATTCGGGTCTATCTCTCAACTCCTTTATGGCATCAGGGATACCAGTAAACATGTCCCAGTGAGATTCGCCGCCACAAACTTGGCTGGTAAGATCGTGCATCTCTCGTAAAGTGAAGGATTCTGGCATTCCGAGTGGATCGGTACGGTCGAAGAAGTATGAGAAGGTGTAGACGTCTTCATGTTGGAAGGTCTTTTCTAGAGAAGGTTGATGAACACCATTGAAGGAGCAAGGTGCAACTTTACATTCGGCTTCTTTAAACAACATCTTTTCTGCGAGTTTGCGGCATTGAGCTGGGGATGGGGAAGAAGGACCCTTCATGACGAATTCATTCTTCTCGCCCAACTTAGCACGGAGAGGATGTTTCTCGTCAAATGCAATATCAACTGAACGGTTCATGCCTGGTGCAATACAAGGATTGATGATTGGCGATGCGGTCCAGGAGAGGTCTGAAGGATTGGCTGCGTGAATATCATCGATGAGAGTCTTGTGAATTGTTTCACGGGCTGCCATTAGACCATATCCCAAGTGAGAATGCTGGTATAGCTCGAAATCTCTTCCGCCAAATGTAAGCTTGTATTTATGGTCACCCTCAGCCATCTTCTCGGGTAATTTGAACTTTGGCTCAAAGACAACTTGGGTCGAACCTCCACCAAGATCGAAAACTGCTGCAGTATCTCCAGGAGCTGGGCCTCCAATGTTGCCGAGTAAGAAGTTGGTTGTGATCCAAGCGTAGACACCCTCATCAGTACCATCCATAACTTGGACTCCACCCTTTTCGTCGGATACAACCGCGAAAGGATAGACAGTCTCCAATCTGGTACGAACAGCCTTGAGGATATTGTTGCTCAATTCCGGACCAAGTTTTCTTAAACCAGCAGTAGCTTTGACAGCCACAGGAGTACAAGACTTAAGTGCATCAGGGACAGTTTTCACTGCAACATCCATAAGCATATCGAGACTCTTTGCAGCACCTTCAGCATCAGATCCATAAGAACTCAATCCGGAGCCGCCCTCTTTCTTCTCAGTCATTTTGAACTCCTCAGACTCCAACTCTGGTGTAGGGCCGCAGTTATTAAATTTGTATACGTGAACTCGAGATCCGGTACTTCCAGCATCAATCATGATGGCATATTGAACAATCGGCTTCGACTTGCTGTAGGATTTCGAGCACTTCGTTGTCCCATAAGTCGAATCAGATGGAGATTGTCCATCATTACCACCACTCTTGACTGTATCGACAGCACCTTCGACAGCACCTCCAACTGTTTATGTTAGAAAATGATATATTAGATTTTTTTATTGTGACATACCAGTGCTTGGTACCTGCGTACCGCTTGGAGACAGATAATAGAACAGGAAGACTACGAAGAGCAGGATTCCTCCTGTCTTCAAGTATCTGGACCGCTGACTTTGGGTCATCCTAGCGTTCTTTGATTTCTCCAGTTTGGAAGCGGCGCTTTCGTTTGCGCCCGAATTACTATATCTTGCAAACTTCTCGTGAGGGTCGTGTGATGTACTCTTCGATGGGAGAGAGACAGAAGTACGTCGCATCTGCGAAAGAGCGACTATGAATGATAAGTAGAACTAACCACCTAGACTAATTACCAGCTCAAGCCAAGTAAATATAAACTAAGAAAAAGCGAGTGAAAAGTCTGGTAAGAGAAAGGATTGGTGAAGTTCCAGATCCTATTACTTAGGTATACTTTTAGGGAATGAGAAAAGAACAAAGCTGTTCCCTTTTTTAATTTCATAAGAATAAATTTAAGTAAGGGCAGAAAATGGGAATGAGAAATAGGGGACGTTTTGCCTTCTATCCTTGCATTGGATTTGAGTGCTGTGGCTAAATTTGGGATTGCGGCGATGAGTGATTGGTTGCAGGTGATGTGTTGTTAATTAGAGTGAAGGGGCTTGTGGAGGTGTGGAGATATCAACGCCTTAAATGATAAAGATTTTTATTTTAAGTTTGGAGCTTATCGTGAAAAGCATGATCACGTGTACGAGGTAAAAAGTGATTAGTCACAATCGAGACCCTCAAAGGCGGGGTTTCTTTATCAACATGTTAATGACACCCTTCGACCGAGTTTCCGAAACATCGTCAGCTCGAAGTTGCCTTCGGTGATAAATCTTATGTCTTTCATTCATAGAATGATATAGAACAGATACTATACCCTACATGAAATCGTTCATGATGCTGCCTCAATAAATACCCTAAGTTTGGTTTCTCTTATTTTGCTTTTCTCTTTCCTACTACTTTCCTCTCTGTCTCTCTCTTCTACTAACCTGCGCACATCCCCTTTCTACCCAACACGCTCAAAAATCACAGCAACAGAATAATGAACGTTCAGCTATATGTCTATGATCTGTCGAAGGGCCTAGCACGCAACTTGTCAGGAGCTTTGTTGGGAGTCCAGATTGATGCTATTTACCACACCTCTGTTGTTTTCGAGGGCATTGAATATACTTACGATGGAGGGATCAAAACTGTCAAGCCTGGCGAAACTCATCTGGGTAAACCATTGCAGATTATAGAGTTGGGGAAGACGGATCTACCTATGGATGTGATTCTGGAATATCTGGACTCTTTGAAAGAAATCTACACCTTTGAGGTAAATTCTCCTACAATTTCAAATCTCTTGTCATAAGCTAATTGCATGTAGGCGTATGATCTCTGGAAACACAATTGTAATAACTTTTCGAACGATTTTGCTACATTTCTGGTTGGCCAGGGAATCCCCGAGCATATTACGAACCTCCCGGAAACTGTTCTCAATACTCCATTTGGCAGAATGATTCAACCGCATTTCGATGATTATGTTACTTTGAACAATATGAACAATGGCGGTCTGTTGGGCATCCAAAATACAGAAGATCCACAACAGCAAGCATCGATGTCACAGGTTCGACATGCCCAAACTTCTGCTGAACTGAATAATCTCTTGAACCTAGCCAGGAAGAAATGCGCAATTATTTTCTTTACTTCCCATAGTTGTGCTCCATGCAAACCTCTATATCCTGTCTTTGAGCAACTCGCAAAGGATGCAGGACGCAAAGCCGTTTTCATAATAGTTGATATTGCCCGGTCATATGAGATTGCCACAAGATACAGTGTTACCGCGACGCCGTTCTTTGCAACTTACTTACAAGGCGAGGAGGAAAAACGTTGGGCGGGAGCGGATGTAGCAACTCTACAACGAAATGTAGGGCTTCTGATACAAATGGCGTTCCCGCCACATGCACATGAGTCTTTACGTTTACCAGCACTTCGTGCACCAAATACGTTGCCAGTTATTTTTACCAAAGTTCCACCGCTTGAAAAACTCAAAGCAAAGATGGGACCTGCTGCTGATGTTCCAGCAGTCAAAGGGGTTCTCCACTTCGTATCAGAGGGACAATCAAAGCCCGCAGCACAGACTCATCTCCCGGATCTGGATGCTTTCAGTTGGTTTTTACGAGAAGCTCCCTCTAAATTACCTACTGAAATCTTGTTTACAATCGTTGATGTCCTTCGATGTGCTCTTGTGGACCCAAGACTTAGTGGTTATTATGCCGAGGAAAAGAACCACAAAACCATTGCACCACTATTCTCACATATCAATAGTCTTAAAGACTGTCCCTATTCACTCCGTTTAGTCGCACTTCAAGCAGGTTGCAATCTATTCACAAGTCCCTTGTACCCTCAACACATTCTCGGCTGTCCGGCCCTAACCAACCCACTCGTTCAACTAATCACAACCTCGCTGCTTGATGACGCACATCATAACGTTCGTGTCGCAGCCGCAAGTCTTGCCTTCAATATGGCATTTGCCAATTCTAGTCTCCGTATAGAAGATCACAAAGAAGTATTACCAGAAAGCGAACAAATAGAACTTGCTGCATCTTTATTAGAAGCTATACAAGAAGAAAAAGAATCCCCAGAAGCATTGAAGGGATTCTTATTGGCGTTTGGACATTTGGTGTTTGGGACCCCGAAAGATGGAGAGTTGGTGGATTTATTGAAGAGTATGGACGCCCAAAGGACCATCCTGGGTAAAGCGAAGGCTTTTCCTAAGGAAAGTTTGATTAAGGAGATTGGACAGGAGTTACTTGGGAAGGGCTTGGAATAGGTGTGCTTGTGTAGATATCTGGTGTTAATAGGGAATAGACTGA